CCTCGTGAATGGATTGGGCATTTTCGCATCCATTCAGCTGTACCGCCTAGAAGCTATTTGCGCCCCGATGCGTGCTGTAGCCCCCAACATGCCCAATTCAGCATCTCAACCCTTGAGAGGCATCATTTCATCATTGCATAGTCGCAGAGGGGTTGGGCATGGGAACACTGCCAGCAGCCCTGACAGTCTTGGTCGACATCTTTGAAAAGAAAGCACTGATTTTGGAGCAACCAGTTGGCCGTGGGTCAAAACCAATGGTACCATTTTGGGGTAGGTGCACCACCCGGGGGCCTTTGGGGGTAACGGGCTGTTGACCCATGGCCAGTTGGCCGCCTGACGCGCTTGCCGGGTCCCTGCCAGGCCCTGGCGCCTTTGAATCGCAGCAACCGACCGAGACGCCAACGCCTCCTCCTCCAAGACGGCCGCCAGGCGCTCACGCGTGGCCTCTAAGGAGGACAGGCCGCCTCAGTCTGAGCAGTCCAGGCAGCCCATGGCTTCATGGGCACGTGGCTTCCATTGGCTCAAGCCCAATGGAAAAAAATAAATAGTCTTAACCAGTAGCCGATAGATGCCCTGTAAAACCCACCGGGGAAAAAGAAGACATATGCTGAAGCAAATGGAAGGTGGCAACACCTCGACTCTTTGTGTGGTATGGAACCAGGGTCTTTGAGGTTAACAGTTGCTTATATCAAAGCCCTCTAGCCTCTTACCGATGGCCCAGGTCATAGTCAAGCACCCTGGGTCCCGATACCCCAGCACTGGGTCCTCAAAAGCCATTCCAAAAGCAACCCTCTGGTCGAGTCAGGGATCGATCAGGACCCTAAAAGGACACCACCAGTGGTTTATCCCACATTTTTGTAGGGTGTCGAATTTGTAGTTGATTCCCCATTCTTTTCAACCAGCGTTCTTTTCAAACACCGAATCTGTTTTTTTCCTCTAAATTTTAATGGTGTCCTGACCAGCAGGATCCCTGCAAAAAAAGCATCAAGTTTCAAATGGTTGCAAACTGAATTTCTTTTAAGGAGCCCTGGATTCAAGTGCGTGGATGTAAGCGAGAACCTGAGCCCGCAGCCCACCTCGTTGCTATCTGCGAACTGATACCTGGGCCGCATCGCGAGCAAAGCAGCTCACGTCCCAAGTGGTTTGGCCAGAACGAGACTGAACTCGTTGTGTGCCTTTAAAATAACCTTCCCAAAAAGTAGAGAGATCACAAACTCGTGGAGTGAGACAAGCAGTCATGACGTGGAGTGAGACAAGCAGTCATGCCGTGGAGTGAGACAAGCAGTCATGACAAGTTCACCCCCCCCCCCCAAAAAAAAAAGTGAAACACTGTTAAGCAACTGGAAGGTACCCTTTCAGAGCGGACAAAGGGAGAGGGACGGCCCCTGAAGCGTATCCAAAGGAACCCGCTATTTCACGCCCTGGAAACCATGATCCAAACTGGGCTTCTAAAACATGCAGGGTGCTCCCCGCCTCCGGCGCCATCAAATGGACTAAATTATGTCCTAACCAAACAGGGGGATACTGGGGGGCATCTTGCTACTTGCCCCAATCCAGACGTGCCCCCTCCCCCCCCGCAAATTTCCGTAGCATCCCCCCCACAAAATGGGTCCCCTTCCCAGAAGAATCCATTCCTCAAAACGCTGGCATTTTGTGGGGGGCTCATGCAGGCATGCTTTTGAGGTACCCTGTTCAGGTTGAGGGATGCCAAAGGGAAAGCGACCATTTTGCGGCCGGGTCCCCCTTCTTTAACACAGGGAAGTGCAACTTGAAGATGGGCCTTGCCTACAAGGCCTTCAGGTTGTCCCTGCATGCAGGAACCCCCCCAAGAAAATAAAGAAAACAAGAATCAAAGAGTGCTGTGCCTTTGGTTTTCCTTTGGATCAATCCTAGAAGAGGGTAGCCTCCAAGAATCACACACACACACTTGAAAATTGCCTGAAATCACCAAACCGCCTCCCACCGGGAGTCTTGCGAGCTGCAGGGTCCAGCTGGCTATTGGAACACTCGCGCACATGAATCCCAAATGAGGTCGGGCTCCCCACCAAAATTCCCAGGGTTTGCCAAGACGTGACGTTACTCATGCGATCTGTTCTAACTCAGTTCAAATCATTTGTTTGACTGTTTCTGGGTCAAAGTCAGAAAATGAGGTTGTTTCCCTTCAACCCACCACTTAGGGGGTGACTTTGAATGATGGCAGGATAATGAGGCCAGTCTAATGACTTGCCTTTGAGGAAGCCAAGCGGTCGGTTACCTCCACGGACAAAACCACAACGAGACTAAGTGAGCACAAACGATTAACAAGAAAACAACATGTAAAGACATGAAGCCCCTCTTCCCCCCGCAAATCATCCAAACCTCACTTTCGAGGTCATGGACAGCTAAACTAACATATCATCATGGTGCGGTTTCCTGTGCGCTTGCCAGTGAAGGATGCCCTCCTGCGTGGGACGCTCCGTTTTGATCAGCCAGGGGCTATTCAGCCTGGGCTCCACTGGAATCCCGAAATTGGACATGAAATCGAGGAACCCCCAATCGCAAAGGAGCATGGCTGATCTGGTTTACCCCGAATCGGTGTGCCCTGCTCGCGGAAACGGCACTCTTGCTTGCAAAAGGCCCCTCGCAAATAACAAGGGCCAAACTCAAAGACTCGGCTGACCAGTGACCTTTCCTCAAGCAGCCCCACCCACCTCTCTTTTTCACCAAGTGCACTACGTGTTCAATGACCAGGCTCAGTTGGCTTAGGCTCGCAAGATGGGTTCGCTTGCGCAGGTGAGACCTGGCTTCCCGCCAGACGGATGTCTGCCAGGGTATCTGCTGCCATTGCCCTCAGGGGCAATGATTTGTTTAATCTTGAGTTGGATGAAACCGTTCGAAACCAACGCAACCAAGTGAGAAACACGCATGTAATTGCCTGGCTAGTGAAAGGGGGAACGGATGGATTCCTGTTGTGCTGCACTTTCAGGCGGTTGACTGGAAGCACTTGGTGCAAACGCTGGCCGATTTGCACGTTGGATTTGGATGGGGTCACCAAGTGCGCATTCCTTGTAAGTAGCCTCCAACAAGAGCTATATATATATATCTATATTGTACATGCGTAAGTATGCATATACATATGCAAAGGGGGTGTTTGTCCCTCAGGGGGGACCAGTGACCCACAGCTGCCATCCCTCCAGGCTCTTCACATACCGATTTTCCCCCGGGTATGACGCACTTGTGGTCAGAGACCTGGGATATGAGCCGCTGAGCCACACGTAGATGAGGCTCCTGCGCCGGAACAACTGTGTTCCGGTTCTGTTTCATGTCAGTCCAACCTTTTTCCAGCGAGGATTTCATGGCAGCCCCGTCCCTTTGTTTTACTGCTTTACTGTCCAATCAGGAGTCAACATGCCAATCCGCAGCCACCAACATGCCACATCAATACACGGGTGTTTCCCAAATGGCCCTTTCAAACCCGCGAAAGCCGTCTCAATCTGCTGTTGAGACCAACTTTCCAATCTGAATCCCAATGTGCATGTGTCAAAATTGCGGTGCCGAAGAACTGCGGTGTCCTTTGAGTTTCCCTTCAAACCAAAAGGAAACAAAACACGGGGTACGAACAAAGAAACACAAATCGCCCTGCGCCTTTGACGGTGGCTCGGTGAGACAAGTCGCATCCTTGACGACTTAACCCTAGTTGTGCACACCTACTCGGATCGCGTGCACGGCGCAGTTTACGCACTGCGCAACTCGCTCGAGCGGGTTATGCTGAAAAACATGTCCCAGCGCCCCGGTGGCTCACTTGCCTACAGGTCCCGGAACAAAGGTCCAAACTCTCGCTACCCCCAGGCCCGTGCAGGTTCTATGTTTGGGGTCTCCCCAGGGGACCTTTTTAACCAGTTTAACCGCAAACCAAACAGTGAGAGACACGTCCAACTCAAAGGCCAACGAGGCGCGGTTCTTCACTGATGAGGAAGGTGGAGCTAGACAGAGCTGTTGGACAACAAGCTAGGCAAGGTCAGTCTTTCTGGATCTGCGCAGTTCCTGGCATTCACAAGCCATGAGGCATCCCCACGTGAGCAATCTCCGCGGCGCGTGAACTGCATTGGATTTCAGGTAAGATACGTCCATGATGGGTGAGCATGTCTTCCCCCCTCGGCGAGCTGGTTATACCTTGTTTGCCCAAATGGATTTAGGCGAAATTAGATAGCACGATTCTCCAATTATCGATAAGAAAGGGGCATGATTAAACCAAAATGGGGAGGTTGCGCCATTTGATTTCGCCCAACTGCGCAATATGAGGCGCATTGGCGTACGCTGCTTAAGTTGTTAGCAAAGGGTAAAGGGGAGCAAAAAAGACAGCTTTCGGGGGACAGCTGAGTTGCCTCGAAACCTTGCAGCTTGCAGTGCACTCGGAGTCAATGCCTCGTGGGCATGTGAAAAACCCGCAGGCAAGCCAACCCAACCCGGCTCAAAACGCTCACGCGCAGGTGCCAGCATCGGGTTGCCAAGGAATGAGTGAGATGAGTTCCCTCTTTTGAGACCACCGGTGGTCTGGGTCTCACTTGGTTTAGCGGCCACGGGCCTTTTTAAGTTATGAGCTTTGGCGGTCAAGGTTTTAAACTACCCATTTATGCTTGTGAGCCAGCATGCCCTACAAACTGATTCAAAAAGCGATCCCGAAGCATCCTTGCAACCCTCTTTGCAGAATGAAAATCTGCCATGCCGTTTCCAAAAGAGCGGGCGATTTGTTGTTCAGCTTCTCTACAACCATCCTACCTTCCTCTCGCTAGTGCTACTCTTCAGCTCACTTGTGATTAGTTTTCAATTTGATCTGCACCCTTTGCAACCTGAACACCTCGGAGCGGGTTGAATCTCGAGATGCCTCTTACTCCGTCGGATCTTAACTTCCACGCCTCGGCGAAGGTCACGCTGGGGCTTGCCCCTTGCACCCACCAAGCCCCCCAGTTTTGAGAACATCGAGGGACTCAGAGCCTCGTCTCTTGGCGGGCCGGAAAGGCTCACGTGGGCTCGTCCGGAAAGCACGTACCCTCCACGGGCTTGTCCAAGCGCACCGTGGTCTTGCGGCTATTTGCGTTGAGGTTGGCGCCAGCCTCTGCCATATCTCGTAGCTGCCTGGCGAAGCATTGGGCTTGTGGTGTGTCATGGGAGTTGGACGGGTATAAGAAGCAAGGCTATGGAAGCCAAATGGAAAAAACAACATGATGAACAGGTGGTTTTCCCAGTGAGCTTGCTTTTTCTTGTTTTTCCAAGGCTTACCTAGATTTCTCCTGCATGATCAAAAGGGAAACTTGGACTTCGGCAACCTGGGACATTTGATGTGCGGAAATAGGAAGGGCAACACATGGCGGCGTTCCTTTGGCTGCTCTTCGATCCTACCTGAAGCACTACCTCAACAAAAACGAAGACAGGAGCTCGAGGTCACACCACACGGGCCCAAGCCGGGAAGATAGCTTCGAACAAAAACGCGCAGCGTCAGCACCACCCTTTGTGGAGATACATCCCAGTTCAAAAGCTTTTATGTTGGCCTCAGCCATCGCCATCAACGGCCCAAAACCAAGGTTGAACGTCGAGCAGTTGGCTGACTTCCTAAGTGGAGCCAATAAAAAGACAAAAAACATGTTGTTTACCACCGCAATGCTCTTCCGCGAAAAAGAAGTCCACAAACTCCCTCTCTCTCTCTCTCTCTCTCTCTCTGGCCATAGCATGGGAAAACGGGGCACCCCTCTTTGTGCCGCTTCTATAATTTTAGTGTTGCTCAAGGGGAACAACTAAGGAAACTGGGCCAGATGCTTGAATCATTTGGTTGTTGCTTTTAACGGGGGCATTGGGAGGTTGATCTTGCAAATTTGGCTGATCTTAAAGGTGACCCCTCCTCAAGGCAAAGGAGAAACCTTGGTTGCGGTTGACCCCCCTGCAAAAAGTTTAACTTTTTGGGGGGTCAGTGGAATAAAGTCTAAAGATCCAACCCAATAGCAGTCAACAAACGAAAGGAAAACCGACGGAGGCCCGGGCCTGATATCTTCCTGTATCTCGGCGGTGGTCGTGCGGAGGAGTCCTCTATGGGTCTGTTCAGGGAAACGCCTTGCCATGAAGCTTCCTGGAAAACATAAAACACATGTTATTCGCAGTCGTGCAAGATTCCCCTTAAAACCCACAGGGGAAACGAACACATATTCTTAGGCAAATGGAAGACTCCCTAGTTTGATACTGTGCATGGACAACATCCATTTGGCAGGAAGTTCGCCCCACAAATCCAAACTGGTGCGGGATTTGGTCCATCCACACTAAGTAGCGAAGAGTTTTGGGAATGAACCTTTTGGGATTCCCTCTTTTCATCTAGAACGGGATAGCTGAAAGGTTTGGGCACTACAAGAGGAGGAATTTAGGGTACATAACAACTGCCCGAGAAGAAACAACAACTCGAGCAAGAACCCGGCAAAGCTCTCCCTCCCACCCGGGAGTACGGGGTAGTTGTACATATCCCTTGCACATACCCCAGGAGTAGCTGGCCAGATGCTGGCCGTGCTTCATGCTTCTCTGGGTCGTATGGGATGGAAGCAGGGGGTCAGCGGCATGGGCACTTTCATATTTAAGAGCCCCAAAAATGCACACTTCCCCTTCCTCATGACCATCCCCGGGAAAGCCCCAAAAAGGCAACATCAAGAACAAATGCGCAGACAAAAGGAAGAGAGAGAGAGAGAGAGGAACAAATGCACATGCGTGCGCACCCACACGCACACGCATATGCACTGAACAGGCAAAAGGCACACCCACACGGCCACACGTGCACACACACCCGCGCACCCACACGCGCGCACACAGACATATATGTGTATAGCATATACAACACACACACATATATATATATAAGTTGCTTTGCTTGTTTTACATTATATGGCTGCGCATGTACCTTGATTCATGCATGCAATATGTTTCGACATACATATACTGTTACAAACATGCAAAATTACATCTATCTGCAAACCGCTTCATCGAGGATCTGATTGAAATCATGCCGATCTCAAAAAGGTGGCTGACAACTCCGTTCTGTGTGCTTCTCTGAGGGACGCCATTTCGGCTTTTGCCCTTCAATAGTTTTGATGCTGGTCCATACTGTGGATGGACGAAATCCATTTCGCGCCATCTAAGAAACCCTGGAATGATGATTCTCCTGCAAATACCAAAAAACAATGGTTCACGGGTTCGAAGTGGTGTAGGATTTCGTCCATCCACAGTACTTAGAGAACTGCATGCTGCAACATGCTTCCAAAACAGATCCGGAATACGTAGAATCATATGGTCAGATTCTGTTTCATCTGGGCATGATCTTTGATTCGGGACCCTTTGGCAGACATCATTTCTGTGGGGATTTTCAGAGGGGTTCCCCATGAAAATTCTTTGCCGCAGAAATTCCACTCTGAAAAGTAAGGCAATTTTGTGGCGGAGACCCGTGAACCTCCCCGCCGGCTCTGCGCGCTCGGGTCCTAGGAGCCTCAAGGTCTGAATGGTCCAGATGGGCACGTCCAAGAGCACCAGGTTCAGCAAGCCTCACGCGCTCTGGGTCAAAATCGGGTGACCCCATGGCTTGCCCTGGTACTGGAATGGACCAAAACCTGCGGTCCATATCCTGGTGGTTTATTTTTGACCCATACCCACATACTGGGGTGAGATCATGGAAAGTGGCCAGTTTTCGGCAAGGAGGCGACACTTGGCGTCCCTCCCACCAACAGGGAAGTGCAAAAAGGCCAGCTAACCAAGAGGAAAGTTTTCTGCAGGGGTCTGCGCACTTCCATTGGTGGGAGGGGGGTCCTTGACACTCGTAGGACCGGGATCGGTTGAACTCGGAACCGAGCGCCAACGGAGAACCAGGGTCGTTTTTGCCACCTGAGAAAATTCGCGACCCCCTCAAAAAGGAATCCACCACAAGGCGGTCCATCAATTTTCGATAGGTGGCAACAAGACGTTCTGGGCAGAACAAACTCCCGGCCTTCCACAAACTCTGCCTGGGAAAGCTTGCCGCTGCCGTCCACATCCAGCCTCGAGAAAAACGCTAAAAACCACCCTACCCAAAGGCGGTGGGTGCCCAAAGGGAGGCTCTTGAAACCCTTACATTACGGCGCGGTAAAGTATGGTTTCCCCTCCAAATTGTGGAAAAATCTGACCATTCACCGAACAAGAAGCAGTATTCCAGTTCCTGAAGCCCGCCTTGTGCACCCCCTTTGTGAGGTCGAACTAACTTCCCCGCAGATGGCAAGCTTCGCCCGCATGAAACCCGCCGGACCTATCAAAGGGCGGTCCTTGTAGGGGATTCGCCCATCTCAGGGTAGCGTCTTTGCAGCCCTCAATGATCCAAAGCGGGGAGGCGCGCATGAGATCGGCCTGTTGCCCATGGATATCGCACAATCTGAATTACGAGGTGCTTCCATGCCCGCACTGAGACCTTGCTCGATACAATGTGCACGTGTCGATACTGGCAGTCAAGCCTTGAAGTGACCAATTGAATCTATAGTATCCGCTTGGTTTGGGCAACCGGTGCCTGGCGTGGATTTTGTTCATGCGCTGTGCTCGATCGAATGATCGCTTGGATGCATCCTTGGATCCCATCCTTTTCAGGGAGCTTCTTCTTACACCCCCAATTGAAATGCACCTCGAGATGTCTCGATTCGCTTTTCGTCAGGCGAGCTGCAACAGCCTCTGCCCAACTCAAAACGTTGCACCCGGGAAACCTGCAGAGTTCTATAAACAACCACCATCCCAAAAGACCTCTGTCGTTTGGACAAAACTCCCAACACAACTTTTCTTTAGTTCAACTCGGGGGCCAGGGTTCCACTTTCTGACTACCCCCGCAATGACTTAAAGCCAGAAATGGGCCATGTACCCCACAAAGGGAACTGGGTTTAAGTCTATCAGCTGGTCAAAACATCGAACCCTGTCGGGGGCTCTTGGGCTGGTGCCCCCCCTCTCGGAAAAACATAGGACTCCCCCGAACCCCCCCCCCCCAAACAAAAAAAGGCACCCACAAAAAGACACATCCGCCATGACCATGGACGAATTAGGAAAAACCTGACACGCTCAGATCGGAGGAGGGGCAGCTCAAAGAGGTCCACCATGCTACCGATGGAGACGCTGTCCAGCAGCTTGGCCGGCAAAATGTCGATGGGCACCTTCCAAATAAAATTGCATATAAATATGTTTATATATATGTATGTATGTATGTATGTATGTATGTATGTATGTATGTATGTATGTATGTATGTATGTATGTATGTATGTATGTATGTATGTATGTATGTATGTATGTATGTATGTATGTATGTATGTATGTATATGTATGTATGTATCTATGTATGTATGTATGTATGTATACATGTATGTATGTATATATGTATGTATATATGTGTGTATGTGTATATATATATATATACATGCCCCCCCCCCCAACCAAAAAAAACAACTACTTTGGTGGTTAGAGGTGTGTATATATATATATATGTGTGTGTGTGTGTGTGTTCCAGGCCGTGGACCCCCCCCCCCCGCTGTGGGGGTGGGGTGGGGGGTGGGGTGGGTGGGGGGGTTGGGTGGGTGGTTGGGGTGTAGTTTGGGTTTGTTTAGGGTTGGGTTTAGGGTGGGTATAGGGTTGTTGGTTTAGGGTGGGTTTAGGGTGGGTGTTGGGTTCTTAGGGTTGGTTTAACCCTAAACCAACCCTAAATCAACCCTAAACCAACCCTAAGCCAACCACCCAAAACCCACTGTAAACCAACCCTTAACCAACCCCACCCCCCCCCCCAAACCAACCCTAAACCAAACCTATATCAGCCCAAGCGCTAAGGGTTAAGGGTGTAGGATTGGTTGAGGGTTGGGTTTCAGGTTGGTTGTGGGTTGAGTTGTCGTACGTGTTGGGTGCAAGCGTGCGGGGTGTGGGGGATTCGGTGGGGGATTCGGGGATTTGGGGGCTCGCGGGGGTGTTTTTTTTTTTGGGGGGGGGGAAGGACGCGAGGGTTGGTGGCCTGGGGACTGGAACATTATTTATATGCTAAGCCCCTCCCTCCCCCCCCACAAAAAAACACACACACTACCTTTTGACAAGCTTGCCTGGAATTAAGCAGACAGAGAACCGCATACATATATATATATATATATATATATATATATGTATATGTATATGTATATGTATATGTGCTTGCTTTTTTTGTGCGTTTTGTTTGGGGATACCCTTTGGGAGTGGCGTGAAAGGAGCCCAAAGGAACACCCGCATTTTTGTGGTCTCCCCATTTTGACACATGTCCAGCGGACTTAGAAACACAGCCATCTGAAGCCAGCCCCTTCTGTGTTCAACCAAGCTGACCAAAGTAGGACATCTGCGAATTCTACAACTCCCATTCAGGGGCGATCATCATGGTGACCTCGTTTTACAATCCATCGAAGTAAAATCGGCAGACGCGTTGGTTGCTCCGCCCCGGTTTCCCGGCATCGTTTTCAAATTTGGGGCGCCAATGTTTCATAGGCAATCTTAAGCTGGGTTGCTCTTCCTCCCTGAGCCAAAGCTCTAAGATTTCGTAGGATTAATGAAAAACAACGTTTGTTTCCACAAGGTCTAGGACCCTAGGAAATCTAAGGTCACCTCAAACACCGGTCATGTTTCAAGGCAACCCCCATTGAAAGAATGGAACGCGACCAAAGACTGAACCTACTATTCAGTCAAACCTGAGTCGACTGGTCAAGATCCTTTACGGCCAAGTCTCGAAATCAACGGGTTCTTGAACCACGAATCCCCAGACCGAGAAGCAGGACACCCCACACTGAACAAAACGAGACCGCTTAAAAATTGAAACTTAAGCCCCGGAGTATCTATCAGTTTCCCCTTTGTTTGGCGGTTTGGATTGGCGCAAGCATCGCAAAGAACTCTTAAGCAAAACCTACACATTGAAACCAAACCTGTTGAATGTCATCCTGGCCGTTTGCACGTGAAGGTTGCATTAACTCTCTGCTTCTTGAACTTCCAAGGTGCCCAGACTTGCATTGGCGAAACATCGGTGTGTATCCTAAATGATTGGTTTCCTTATGGACGTCCTTTTGAAGCCACAACAGGGCAATGTTCACTCAGGATTGGCCAAGTATTAGGTTGATTCATCGGGGGTGGAGCTTTTTTAGAGGGGACCCAAATCACTTTATGCAAATAGCCCCAGTAATCCATCAGCCCTACTGATCTGTATTGACAATTATTCTTTGGGAAGTTGCTTGAATGACCCTCTTCCAAGGGCTTGTGCCTTTGATTTGTTGGTTGGCAACCCCGCCCCCTCCCTCCCCCCCTCCCTCTCGGGGAAGCGCAGGCCTTTCCTCTTTCGAGGGGTCCCACTGTTTGCCCAAGAGGGGATGGACGCCTGTTGGGGATATTCAACCCAATTCACGACTTCCCCTTCGCAAGCCGCAACATGCTCTTAGATGTCCATGAAGCAAACCCAAAAAAAAGGAGGACATTTCTATACAAGAGTGGCGCAACTTGGGCAAAACCCACCCAGAAAAGAAAAGAGGGGCCCCGTCATTCAAAAGAAGCAAACCAAAGCGATGTTAACCACCGCGGCCACCGGAGAGGGAGCACGCTCCCCGCCCATTGCTCTCCGGGCGCGTGCTCGATCTCCTCTCGGCTGATGGAACCGCTGAAGTCCTGGCGGATTAGTTCCATGTCCAAATCAAAGACAGTATTCTAGGGCTACCTTCCTTTTCCACTCTTTCCAGGGATCCGAATCTTCTGGAAAACCTCCGGAAACCCAGGCAAAACGGCCGGATTTTTGCAAATCCCCACTAAAATAGTCTAAAATGGGTGGTGCACCTACCCCAACATGGTACCATTGGTTTTGACCCACACCCAAAAAGGAACTCAATCTGGGATGTCAAAGCAGAGGACCGAACAGATGGGCGTCGGTCTTTTGGCTTCAAAATACCGAGCCTGAAAAGGGTACCTTTAAAAAACAGGCCCAAAGTGTTCAGCTCGTCGTCTGTAAGCGGTCTGTGGGCATCAAGTGCTTGTGTTCAATGCCTGGCGGATGAGATGCAATGTGAGGCGGTCAACGCTCGGTTACTTTCCCATCTCACATTGCAACTTTCTGCAGACATTGCGTGTTCTCGACTGTGTCACACCGCTTTATGCCTCTGATCTGATAATCAACTCTGACTAAACAAAGCTCATAACGCAAGCCCCCCCCACCCCCGAAAAGCTTGTGCTCCAAAAAATGGATCAGGAACCTTTCTACTCCGGGTTCTTTTCTTCGAGCGCTGTTCGCTCCTTGTCCAGCAGGTGGAAGATTTCCAACCTGCAGCCGGCCGGTGGACAACATGTTGCAGGGTAACCGTCAAGTAATTAAAATGTAGTTTTGAAGCACCCCACACTCATTCTAACTGTTTAGGCCTACCCAAGTTGCCTGGTAGCTGAAATTCTGCCCGGTTGGTACTTCCGACCACGGCACATGTTGGCAACGGGAAACCAAAGCAAACTATTGGCTGAGGGCCCAGAGCCCAGGGAGGGGGATCATTTTTGAACACCGATGTCCTGGATCATTTTCGAACACAGAGTGGGTCATTTTCGAACACATGGGGGGGCTATCCTGCCATCCTGGCGTGGGGGTGGGGGTGGGGTGGCTGCGTGACCGTGCGACTGCATCCTGGGGCTGGGGGAAGGGGGTAATTGCGATCGCTGCTGACTGCGTGACGGTGGAACTGCGTATGGCTGGGGGGGGGGGTCGGGTGCGGCAGTTTCGTTCGCCTCTTACTGCGTGCCCGTGCAACTGCGCCCTGGGGCTGGGGAAAGGGGGCAACCAGGAGGCTCCGAGTCCCAAGTTACCTTGGCTTTTTGAGCTAAGATGTCCTCGGCGACTTGCGCTTGTTGGCCCCCGTAAAGCCGTGAAAACTCGGCCTAGCGGCCGTAATAACTCGCGCGGGAAACTGAAAGGCCGTTACTACTCCGTGAAAACCCGTGAAATTTCAAGCTCTGAGTTATCTTGTCCTCGCGACACAAAAAACCTCCTTAGCTCATACGGCCTGAGTAACTTGCGAATCGGAGCCCTGGAACTGCGATCTACTGCGTGGCGGCGCAACTGCGTATTGGGGCTGGGGGGGTGGGGTGGGGCAGTTACGTTTGCTTCTTGCTGCGTGAGCGTGCGACTGCGTCCTGGGGCTGGGGGGGGGGGGGATGGGGTGGGGCAGTTACGTTCGCCTCTTACTGCGCGACCGTGCGACTGCGCGCTGATGGTGATGGTGGTGTTGTTGGTAGTGATGATGACGATGTTGATGATGATGATGGTCATGATGATGATGATGATGATGACGATGATGATTACGTTGACGATGTTGATGATGATGATGATGTTGTTGATGATGATGATGATTATGTTGACGATGCTGATGATGATGATGTTGTTGATAATGATGATGATTATGTTGACGATGCTGATGATGATGATGATGATGATGTTGATAATGATGATGATGATGATGATGATGATGATGATGATGATGATGATGATGATGATGATGATGATGATGATGATGATGTCGCTTTGCGTTCCTTGCGCTTTGTGTTCCGGGTCTACAGTTGACGATTGTCTCCCAAAAGCACGGCGCCATCCATGTGCTACACGTGCATCGTGGTGCGTGTTCGTGCGCCTCATCGTGGTGTGCATGGACACTTGGAAAAATGGCCATGCTGCTGTAAATCACCTACTCTTGAGCAAAACCGCGTTCAAAAACGAGCCAAAACACGCGTTCAAAAACGACCACCTTCCCAGAGCCCACGGGGTTTTGGCAGGGGAAAAACGGGTCTCGAGCGCTTCCTCGAAGGGTCGACATTGCGTTCACCCCCGAAAAAACATGGACCGTGCCTGCACCCCACCTGGGTCAAAGACCCCCGGCTAACCATGACTGCATATGGACCAGGGCATCCTTGCCGTGTCATTGGGTGCCCGGGGGGCCCTCCTCAATGGCTCTAACTCACTTACTTGCACGGACCCTTTCAGCAAGTGTTCACCACCCAAAGGGGCCCAGTGAAACGACCCAAAGGTGAAACCACCCAAAGGTGAAACCACCCAAAGGTGAAACCACCCCAAGGTGAAACCTCCTGAATGACAGAACAAAAAAAGAGAAAAACAAACTGCCCCCCTCTCTCCCAACGATTTTGTGGCCACGCTGCCACTTGGGACGTTTCCCACCGATTCCATGAGTTCCGTGGGTCGGGTAGCTGCCCTTTGAACCAAATGAGCACACTCAAACAAGCTACAGGGAGCCCTGCTACCCTCGGTGGTCATGGGGAAAACTGGTTTGTTGGAAGAGAAGCCGATTCCAATCTCCGGCCTTTCAAACCCCTGGCAGTCACTGGGCGCCAACTCACAAAGATGACCCATTTGGGTCACAGGTTTGGGAACCAGCGGAACATCTCTCTCTCTCTCTCCCTGTAGGTACCGCCCACGTCGATTTCCAACAGCAACCCTGCAGCAGTTGCCCCAAGTTCCCTCTGCAGCAGTTGCCCCTCAACAAGAAAACCCGACCCCCCTCCTCCAATTCCCTTGGCCAGTGGCAGCGTGGGCAGCGCCCCTTTGATCTTGTGCTTCAGCTGCAGGCGTTCGCTCTCCGCCTCCTGGGCCGCGTTCTCCAGCGCATTCTCCACCAAAACCGCGGTCACCAAGTTCATGAGCCCTGCAATCGAACACTCGGTAACACCTGGATCCGCCATGTCCCCCGTTTTCAAGAGAGCCCCACAAAGAGACCAAGGTTCATTCATAGACTGCCCAGTGAGTTTGGGTGGGAAAAAGAAACCGCCTAACCGCTCCCAAATTGATACAACTCTGAATCACTGCCTCCCATATGCCCCTAAGTTTCCATGGAACCTTGGGCAGCTTTGCGGGGGCTGCTGCGGTCCACGTTAGGTGGGAAGGTCAAACCTGATTCGACATCGTGGTTCGAGAGAGAGCCCCCCGCAGAAATACGAGGCTTCCTTTGGTGTCCTTCGCAAAAACGCCAGGTTTGTGGCAGTTGACTTGTGTCCAAGGCCGTCCTTACCCCTTAAAACTCCAAGCCCTGGGGAAGTTAATCTTTTACAGACATATAGCCCACGTTACCCAAACAGTTGAAAAAGTTGTGTTTTTAACGAGGTAAGCGCCTGACCAAGAAACGGCTTCCTTTCGGGTTGCCCAAGCCCGGGGAGTTGTAGCCAACCTGAGGGCTCGCTCTTGGGGTTGACCGATACAGCAACCCAATCAAAACGGGGTTACCCGGCGCCTCACAACTGGAAAGGGAGCGGGCCTCAGGTTTTGGACGGCAAATGAGCCCCGATAAAACCCGATCCACATGTCTTGCGGTTGAAAACACCCCACTTTCAGTAGGACCGGTCCAAACCTCGGAGGGAAGATGTGGGAAGACAGAAGCAGACACCTCCATTTGCTTAAGCCCCCTGAAGGAAAACAAAATCCAGTAGTCATAGGTTCCCTTTAAAACCAACAGGGGAAAATGAAAGATATTCATTTCAGCAATTGGAAGGACAACAAATTGGATATATTTTCCCAAAGAATAGGAAGGAACCGGGTCTAGACAATTTGTCCCTGCCTTAACCTCGCAATATGGCTGTGGGTCCAAAATAAGTACACAAAATGGAACCCGGGTAAATGGAAACAAGGACTAAATCCTGCGGTCCCCTGGTGGTTTATTGACCCATACCCATATGTGGTTGACAAAGGTCAAAACCAGCTCAAAGCCTGAAATGGCACCCCCCATGAAAGGATCCATCGTCGAATCAAGCTCGTCTTCCAGATGAGCTCGTAATGAACTCCAACCCATCCAGCCCGCACTAATAATAGAACGTGAGCCAGGCAAGCGACACTTCCAAGCTACGGTGCATGGACAGCATCAATGTTGCACCAGTTGGTAGGTGGATTACCCCAGGACACAAAGAGTTGCAAAGAGTTGCATCCCCGCTGGTGCTGGTGGATTTATCCCTCCTTTTGTGGGGCAAAGTCCTGGTGCTTCGGGTCCCAAGTCCACAAAGGTCGCAGGGGCATCCGGATCCATCCGCTCGGCCTCTTGCGGAAAAAAGGCGAGCCCTTGCCATGACGACTTTGTGACGCCAAATGGAGGGGCCCAAAGACATCTCTTGGTTGACGTAGGAAGGGGAGCAAAAAAATCAAATTGTAGCAGTTAAGTGGGGATTCCCCACTAAACCACAATAAGCAAAAAGGTAAAATGTTTCCCATCACAACCATGATCTAAGTACTGGGTGTTGGGTACTTTTAAAGCCAAGGTAAGTCATGATAAGACACTCTTGTGTGTAATCATGTAGCCCCTTTGATACCCCAAACTTCCACAATGTCCATGGGCCCTCACCTATAGACACCACCAGCAGGATGGGCAGGAAGAACAAGATCAGCGCGGGTCGCACCATGATCAACGGGTAGTAAATCGCCGCAATGGAGTCCAGAGTCACGAACCTTGCTCCGCAAACCCCGGGTTTTGAAGGGCACTGGCCAAGTCAAAGCATCACCTTTGAGCTTACCCACCTCCATAAGCACCACCCAACACGGGCTCCAAATCATTTTCAGCGGCCCAACTGCAACATTGCGAGTCTTTGAGGGTAGCATGCGGTATCCCGGTCAAACCTTGGCTCAAGGGAAACCACCAAAGCCACCATTTTGATATCCTCAGCGCCCCAAAAGATGACATGCGAAAGGATCGAACTTAACTTCTGCGAACCTTGACTCCAAAAATGTCGCCAAACCACCCATCCTATTCAAACATGGTGTGCAAAAAACTGGGGATCCTCGGAATAAACCTCAAAAACCCTGCACACCCAACCACAACACCTGCAAAACCTGCAAAAACCTGCAGATGTCATCTCCGGGTGGCTGCAGCAAGGTCAGGCTGGACGTGCCGAGGTTGGCGAAATATTTCTCCACGATGGGGGCCGTGTCCGGATGAGTCAGCAGGGCCTCGTCTTTGGAGATGATCTCTACCTCGGTCTTTGGCCGATGTACATCTCTACTTCCATTTGGTTAAGACCCCTGGAAAAAATAAACATATTTTCAGTAGTGATAGATTCCCTTCAAAACCAACAGGGGGAAATAAAACATATTCTTAATCAACACCCGGTACCAAAATGGTCGACCCAGAGCCATGCAAAGACTTAAGAAGGCGGATATCCGCAGCTATTTATGGTTGGGTTTGTCCCTTACTAACCTTCATCTACCCGGGTTTTGATTGTGGCTCACTTGATCTTTCGATACGTGGCTCGCTCGCCGAGTGGATGGCTAAAAAAACGGCAGCAAAAAACGTCTGCACTTGTGTTGGCCACAAACAATGGTGTGTCCAGGCACTCGGGAGGTGAAGGTGAGGTGGGGAATCAACTTTGGAGATGTTGGATTGGTATCTGGCATCGCTGTGTTTTGGAGTTTGGTTTGGAGGTGTTCCAAGGGTGGTTTCCCATTTGCACGCAAGAACCCGGGTTTCAATATCCAAAACCGCCTGCGGGAAAAGAAACAAACGCAAATAGCGAGGATATAATCAATACTGCCGATGAATCAATCGCTGCGGAGTCAGGGGAGAAGGCTCCGCTAGGGCTGAAGATGATCCGTCTTTAAGGTAGATTGCTTGCTTAGCATGCCTTCCACCTTGATGCGAAGTAAGCATTAATAAGCATTATGTTGCCCTGGCCATGAAGAATCTCTGAACACCTGCGGACACACCTCAAAGAAAGGAACGCAAAATTGAGCGGTGGGGTATGCAGCAGTCTTGCTTGTAAATTTATTCAAGGACCCATAAGCTGTTTAGGGAGGAAGCCAAAACCTCTCCAAGCCCCAGGAAGTGTGTGTAGAACCTTTTTTGAAGGGGTTCTTGGAGGGTGTTCGAAGGTGAGCCTTGGCGTTGTGGTGGATTGGTCGGAGCCCATGAACTACAAAATGGATGTCTGTTTTGAGCGGGCGCTTTTGTTGTTTTATTGGGCAAGGGAAGCCAAAGAATCCCCACCCCTTTTAAGGGGTCCCCCATTTTGACTCACATCCAAGTTTGATCTTCAACAGGGATCCTTACATTATACACCTGAACATTGCAACTTGTAAATGGTGGTGTCCAACTTTATTTTGGTGTTGAAAAAGCCACATGTTTCAAATGGGCAGGCAGAATGAATTTCTTTTAAGGAGCCCTGTTCAAAAAACCTCCGGTTTTTTCAGCCCCGTCGTGAAAGCTGGGCTTCGCCGTGGCGAAACATTCGCAGCAAATGTGAAAAATGGCGCGCTCAATCGATTTGTATCGCAGTCAATCCTGGCACTCGTGTAGATGTAAAAACAAAAAACTTCAAGCGATTCAACCAGCCAAACAACAATGCAATGCAACAATCCTGCCATAAAGGGAAAGATAAGTACACGTATACCTAGCCAAACCCCTTGTGACCATTGGGAACAGGTCCCGTTCTTTGGAAGTCGACTTTCAAGGTGAAGCCCCTCAAAGAGGTCGCTGGGTGTCTGGGCCAAGCACCACTCATGCTAGGGGTTGGTTCCCAATTCTTTTCTTTTCAAAAACCAGTCATTTGCCCCAGGGTGTTTTGTGGCTTTCTAGAAAGAAGGATCCCTGGAAAGTATGGGGCAGCTACCCCTGACTCATTGGCCTTAGGGTCATATCAGCTCAGGCGCCGCGATGCATCCAGAGATGTAGAGCGCCAAGAGCCTTGGACATGGCACTCCTAGCCAACCTGCTCGGACTTGGTTTGGTACAGTGACATCCTCAAAAGTACCCTCGAAATGGTAGCTTGAAAGGCAAATCAGACCCAGGTTTTTTGAGAATCCTGAACCAGTTCCTTGTAACGGACCCAATCAGAAGGCAGTTGGAGGAAACCAGCAGGAGACTGGGCTGGGAGGGGGGGGGGGAAGCGGCTGGTCAACTGCCGCACGTTTCGAAAAGGCCGGAAGTGCCAACACAACCGGAAGCACGTACATGCGGAGTCTAACAGGTGTTTGGCAATATGTTTCTGTTTGTGTTCCTGGTTCACAGGTTGATTCAAGCTTCAAACAAAGTCAGGGTTGTCAAATTGGGGGCCTTTTTGGGCGACATTGACAACCCATCATTTCGTGCCGCCCGTCCAAAAACAGCACCACCCCCCCCGGGAAGAACAAAAGAAGCCGAACGAAAGCATCAGCGCTAAGCGCAGATGGGTCGCATGAGCGCTGTGGTGGACAGCATGGTGCCGCCAGCGGTCAGCAAACTGTAGACCAAGCGCCACATGACCTGCATACGGGCACAGCACATCTTCTTCCGAAGAAGAACCTGGATGCGTCCAATTTCTCGCCTCCCATGTACTCCCGCGTCCCAGGATGGCTCTAACAACCCCTCAAGTCAGACCTCTGTCAAACTTGACCCTCACCGAACTTGTATGTTTTGGGCCATGGCCCGCTGGAGGCTCCAGCCTACGCTGAGAGGGCCTCTTGAACATCCTGAAGGAAAGGGCGGAATTCTTGCACGGACATTGCGCCAACAAGATAAAACAATCATGCAGCACATAGCCTGTGTGTGCCCAGGCTTGTCACACAGACTGTCACATAGAAGGACTGGTATGGTGCACCGCATTATTTTCAAAAGGGCGTTTGATGCTTCCTAGCCTGCATAGTGAGGTGCTGACGAATCCTAGGGCCTCCTAATTAAGGGTTATCTTTATCAAAAGGCATGTTGGGTTGATTGCTTTGCTCTGTGCAACCGACTAGAATGAAGTAGACCAAAAGGCACAAACAAAAAAACCTCGGGCGGGTTGGCGACTTGTGGGCACCGACCCGTGGTGCAAGAGGTTCCCCAAACATCGTACTACCGGTTGGGGTTCGGAATTCCAATTCCTGCCTGGAATTGGGCAAGACATTGTTTAAACAACCACTCCCTGGTTCCCTTGAAAGTTCCTTGAAAGGGAATGTGTGGGGTGTTGTTGGGGCAGCTTCAGCCATGGCTCAAGCCAGGCTGGGTTCCAGCCATATCCCGGCGCCACCAAAGGGTGGTGGAACATGACCCTTCGGTGATAAAGAGTTTGAGGGCCGTGACTCCTTCATCACTTCAAAGGAGGTTCCCTTGGAATCACAGAAGTTGCTTTCCGAAAGCCACTTTCTATAACCTTGCATCCGAAAAACAAAGTTGCCACTACTAAACCCACCACCATCTTGCCCTAAAAAACAAATAGTAACAAATTGCCAGCACCATCTTGAAATAAAGCACCATGCTGCACCTCCATCTTGCCCTAAAACCCCCCTTATCTAACGGCATCAATGTTCTAGGGGTCGATTCCTTTTCCATTCTTTTCAGCCATCCTTCGTTTCAAAAACCCGATCCATGTCCCCAGGTTTTTTTTGGTGGTTTTCTGGAAAGATTCAAGGATCCCTGGGTTTAGCATGGACCAGGAAATTACCCCTTGTCCATTTTTGCCACCTGGTTTCCACCCCCATCCCCTCCATTTGCGAACTTAAGTCCCCTGGAGAAAAAAAACACATATGTCCAGTAGTGATATAGATTCCCTGTAAAACCAACAGGGGGAAATTGAAACAACATATTCTCAACCAAATGGCTAGGCTGGAAAGCCGGACCCCAGCAAACAAGTATCTCTTTTTTGCCCTGGCGAGTGGAAAACAAAGGGACCCCCAAAAAAGCAAAGGGACCCCAAAAAAAGCAAAACAGCAAAACAGCAAAAACGCAAAAAACAAAAAACACAAAAAGGCAAAAAGGAAAAAAACAACTCAAAAGGCAAAAAAACGCAAGAATAAAGAAAGAAGCCAAAACAAAAGACAAACTCAAAAAAAAAACACGCAAAAATGCAAACAAGCAAAAAAAGGGGAGCGAATTCTGGGGAGGCCAAAAGGAGGACCTCCGCGATTCGCGCCTTGAAGTAGCTGATCATCCGCAGGGCCCTAACCAGGCGCAGCAGCCTGAGGCCCCGCATGATCAGCAGCTTCTCGATGCCCTCCAGGGAGTCGCCCGACAGAAAGGGCGCCACCACCAGGGCCACGAGCCCCACCTCGGATTTGTCGATTTGAGGATCCAGGTTTTTTGGTCGCAGCTCGAGGCTTTTTTCTGGAAACGAAGGGGGAATCCTACCATAAAGTCCCCTCCAACACGCTTTTGGCCTTTTAGGGGCAGACGATTCTGTGGAGAAACGAAATCCATTTCGCAGTACTTGGAAGCCATGGTTGAAACCGTTGGTTGTTGGTATCTACGTGACGTTGGGGAATCGACTCATTCTAGGGCTTTGGTCGAAACCGCCCTTTCCGTCACAGTTGACAGATGGATGGTGTCTAAAACTACCTTCCTTTTCAAAGGCATACTAAAGGAAAACCACAATTTTGGGGGTTCCAACCTTTGAAAAGACACCCATGCATGATTCCTTTCCCATGCTTCTAGGGGTACCTTCCTTTTCCATTCTAAACCCAGGGATCCGCATCTTTCTAGAACACCTCCGGCAAATTAGGGAAAAACCGATCCAGTTCCTGGAAAGACCGATGCTTGAAAAGAATGGGGAATCAACCCCTAGGGGACCCATGGGTTGAAACCGCCCTTTTTTGTTGGTATTTACAGGGGAATCGAATCCACAGCAGGTACCCAAAATGGGCCATCCTATGCGGCTGTTTTTGCCGTTGAATTCATAGCCAGCCCCAAGGACTGTTGCTCGAACAGGCTCCAGTTTTTGGGAAACTGGCGCGTGGGTGAACTGGACTGGTGAGTAGTGCTCGTGGCTAGTTCGGCCACCTTGGCTCTTTGTTTCAGACAAAAACGCGCAGGGCTCAACATGAGTCTAAATGGAAAAAGCAACATGAGAGCAAGTCCCTCCAACATGCGAGTTCAGCCTTTCATCCTCCCTTCCTGGGTGTCTCGGGCGAGCATGTTGTTGGACTTTCCCAACGAGACCGCCGCACAGAAATGAGCCCGCCCCTTTTTAGAGTGGTTCTAAGGACAAGGTACTCATGGCAGGGGTTCCTCCATTTCCGTCTGCGGAACCTCCAAAAGTGGCGATCTGCTCAATGGACATCACCAAGCAATTCCAACTTCCAAAGGATTTCCTGAGGAAAAGGTCCAACCTTTTCGTAAGTTTCATGGAAAAGCCATGTGTTTCAACAAAAATCTAAGGGGCGCTTTGGCCACAAAGACGAGCTAAGCGGTCGATTTGGAATCCGCCTCCCGAGGCCAAGGAACGACGACCAAGAAGAAGTCCAGAAGGAACCACCTCACTTGCCGGAATTCGCACAGGTTTCTGCTTGCCCTGACCCTCGAGCAGCTGCTTCAAAAAGACTTGACTAGAGATCCCAGGGGTCTGCGCCAATTTTCCACCCGGTCTTGGCCATTTGGGAGCTCGGAGCAGCCCCCCCAAAACAGCAAAATTCATAAACCCGCCCCGAGCTCCCGATTCTGCTTCATACTTGGCCTACCCCAAACTATGACATCTCTCACTCTCTCTCTGTCTCTCTCTCGTGCCATCCGAAACTATGACATGTAACAACCATTTTTGGAAACCCCGAAAGAGGAACTCTTTTGCTCAGACCAAACCCATTTTTGAGGCGACCCCTTTCGAGTTTGCTTCGCTGAAACCGGGCCCAAGCCGCCCATTGGTGAAGGTCTGCAGCCCCCCCGCCAGGATCCGCAGAACCAACTCCTGAGCTGCCAGCGAATCAGCTTCCCGCCAAGCGGTGGTTTTTGGATTGGTGGTGGTTCAGCGGGTTTCTTATTTTCCCATTTCCCGAACGGTTTGGTGGCTCAGGAGGGGGAATCCCCACGTTCCTTCTACAAGATCCAGAGCTTCAAATCCCAAACCAATGCAAAGCACCACCAAAGGCTGTAACTTTTGGGGTCACCTGAGAGAATCCACGTGCCAACATGCGAAGCGCGCTTTTACTTTTCTGGTCGGTTCAAAGGGACCAAAAGGAAAAACCCCTAACTGTTTGAGAAGGGTTCAAGTTACTTTTGCAGATCGTGTCCCTTTGATAGACCCGCAAAGGCGGCCAGGAGGGCCCTCATGTCCACATACACTGCTGCACCCCCCCCGATGAGCAAAGAACCCGACTCTTCTTTAGGAAAAGAACCCCCTGACACACTCAAAAAATACCACGCAGTGTTCCCTTGTGATCATGACAACCTCAGTTTTAATGAGGCCCTTTCTGTATGGTCTTCCTCTTTCTCAGCAACTAGTCAGTATTCACCATCATTTACTCTCCTGCAAATTGACACCGGAACATGGGATTTGCGGTGGGCAAGTGAGTGACAGGTGTTGCAACCCAGCCCAAACAGCCTCAAAGACTGTCCGCTTGCTAGGAGGGCCAGATTATTCGTCCACGAAGGCCTCGGGACGTCTCTGCACATCTGCAAAGTGAATGCCGACTTGATCAGTTCGTTGTTCCCTCCCACCAAAGCCTGGACCCTCAAAGAAGGCTGCCCTCAACAAAACGAGTATGATCTGTGTCCCCTGTGCGTGGAGACAAACTTTTGCCAGCCTACGTGTCCGAAATCGGGACTGGCAAGTCGCTCGAAATCAAAGGGCCATTCAGAAGAGCAGCCAGCCAAACCGCCAAAGGAAGTCCAGTTGCGTCCGAAACAAAATGGGAATCCCTTGCAATGTTCAAATGGCTGCGCTTTACAGGGTACCCTTTCTTGCGCTTGGCTTAAAGGGAACTCAGGGGAACCCTACAATTTTGGGGTGCTCCTTGTGGTTGCGCCTGTAACACCACCAAAGTTTCGCCAAAGAAGGAGTAACATCCAAAACACAAGGTGAACAAAGGTGTGCCTTCTAGGTAGAGGCGGTGCTCGGGTTTGGGATCGGCCCATGCATCTCAAGTTCGAGGAGGCCTGGCATGTCTCGCCGAGCATCAACCGTATAGATGGCAAGGAAGCCTCGCTCCATGTCGCCGGACCAATGGCTATTCCCTGGGTTCGTCCTCGGCATGGCTGGTTTGACAGGGCTTCGGCAGGAATCACAGGCCTTCGGAATGAACCGGAAGGGCATCCCTTAGGAAGCCACCAGGGATGTGCTAAACCAACACGCTCGCTGAGAAAAAAAGGGGTCACAAGCCATACTCGCAGGCTCCGCCCTGCGAGGCGCCCGCATGGATGTGAATTTCTGGCTGGGACTATCCCTGAACCTACCACCCGAAAATTTCACCGTGGCCTAGATTTCCAAAGAATATCGATGAGCCCCTGCGACTCCCGCTTGCTGCCCGGGGCCAGGTGAATCACAGAGGCTCGCAAGCAGAGAGCTGGGCTTGAGACGCATACGCCAGCTGAGCTTTGGACAATATCACGTGCTTCCCATTGCTTCCCGAAGGCACGGGGAAACTGTGGTAAGACTTGGCTTTCGTGTTCGGCGTGCACCCTGCCTGCAGTCAAAGACTAATATAGTGGCCTGGCAGGAAAAGGCCACCAGATTTTTTCGCCGGTGGTATTTTTGCCGGCCTACTATTTTTTGTGGGGAACCAACCACACAGGGAGGAAACTACAACCGGGCTGCAGGTATGTCGGTGGCCACTCAAATCTACGTCAATAGTTGTCCCAGGATGTGTATAAACCCCTGGTTGGTCAATAGATGGGCGTCCCACTTTTGAAGACAATCCTTCATGCGTGTTGCTTCTTGTTTGTTTGGGGGGCGGGGAGGGGGGATTTTTTTGCCGATCAAATCAACCGACAACAAAGTCAGCCCGCCTTTTTCGCATGGCCCGGCCTTCAGAAACAGGGTCACTCCAAACCATGACCACCCCCAAGGGTATTAAAACGTGTAAGGCCTTCTAGATTGTGGCTCCTTGTGGTTCCTTGTGCCTTAGGCCTTTCTTTTTCACCTATCCAGGCCCTGGCCTCAGGCGTCGAGTTGACCCACCACGCGACTCCCGACTCCCCGCACCGAAGGCCAAGGCACACCGAGACTTCCGCTTCGATGCCGATGGTCACCATATTCAGCAGAATGAGGATGCCCGTAGCCCACTCGAACCTCTCGGCTGCACAAAACCCACAGAAAGGAGCTTTGGGACCCCCTGCGGGGGGATGGCTCAGCGTGCCGTTCCTTAACCGAAAACCGGAAAGGTGGTGGATTACTCTATGATTTGAACCTTCATGGGTGATCATGGGTGATTTGAAGCACCCCCGCACCCCCGCGCCGCAAAATCGTTGCAGAGCATGGTTTTTCACATGACAAGCCTGCTGGGAGAGATTAAAACAAGACAAAACGCCGACTCAATCCGGCTACACACTGACTTCACCTTCCCCAGAAACTAAGAGGGTGCCACTAAACAACATTCACCCGCTTTTCGCACCAGTCTTCTGCCACACCTTCAGCGGGCATGAGCAAAGGCACTCTTTCCTTGGCTTCAAACTAGAGGACGATTGGCCCGAAAGCATTTTTCCCCAGGTGCTCATCCAGCCGCGGAGACACCTTTTTATATCGCTGCGGCGGGCGTGTCTGCGCGCGGCGATGCTCAATGTGTACGGTCACATGAGAGCTCCATCTCATCATCCTAGTTTCCTCTCGAACTGCGCCGCGCGATTTCTCACGAAAGTGGTCTGCGCAAGCTGCATTGTTCCAGGCTGCTGCGCGCAAGTTGCTCTCTGCAAGCTGCTGCACGCAAGTGCTCTGTGCAAGTTGCTCTGCGCAAGTGCTCTGCGCCAGTTGCTCCGTGCAAGCGCTTTGTGCATGTGCTCTGTGCAAGTTGGTCTGTGCAAGTTGCTCTGCGCCAGTTGCTCCGTGCAAGCGCTTTGCGCATGTGCTCTGTGCAAGTTGCTCTGCGCAAGTGCTCTGAGCAAGTTGCTCTGCGCAAGTGCTCTGCGCCAGTTGCTCCGTGCAAGCGCTTTGCGCATGTGCTCTGTGCAAGTTGGTCTGTGCAAGTTGCTCTGCGCAAGTGCTTTGTGCAATTGCTCTGTGCAAGTTGCTCTGCGCAAGTTGCTCTGCGCAAGTGACTCTGCGCAAGTTGCTCTGCGCAAGTGCTGCCGGAGCTGTGGGAATGTACTTCGCGTACTATTTGTGTACTTAAAAGTTGCGATTTTCCAGCCGGAGCTGCAGAAGCACGCTCTGCGTACTACGTTTGTATTTAAAAGCTGCGATTTTCAAGCCGGAGCTGCCGCGGACGTCGCGTGCGGACCGCAGAAATCGTAAAAAGTCCTCAGTTTTTGAACCTCGACCATGCGAATCTCCACAGAGTCTCCGAGGGTCGCGCGCACACCGCAGAAATCGTAAAAAGTCCTCAGTTTTTGAACCTCGACCACGCCGCAGAGGGTCGCGCGCACACCGCAAGAATCGTAAAAAGTCCTCAGTTTTTGAACCTCGACCACGCGAATCTCCGCAGAGGGTCGCAATCCCGATCGATGATCAAACTCCCACCCCGGCGCCTTAGAAACCTAAACTATAACTTACATAGCTGCTTACGCCGAAGCTCTACGCAAGCTCTACCTAACCTTGGCTCTCTGCCACTTGCTCTATGTAACTTGGCTCTATGTAACTTGGCTCTATGTAACTTGGCTCTATGTAACTTGGCTCTATGTAACTTGGCTCTATGTAACTTGGCTCTATGTAACTTGGCTCTATGTAACTTGGCTCTGTGCAACTTGGCTCTGTGCAACCTGGCTCTGTGTAACTTGTCCAAGGGCTCCGCACGGAAGAACCCTTCGCGATGCTTTCGGGAAAAAAGCCCTTGAAGAAAAGCAAAACCATCAAGTATGCATAAACCACCACAGCCTGGGATAGGTTCCGATGTCCCCGTCTTTTTCCCCCGTCTTTTTTTTGGGGGAGGGTTTGGGGTTCCGGCTGCCGGGCAGCCACTTGGAGTTCACCAGCTGCTCGGCGCGGCGGCGCATGAGCTGCCAGGCGTTCAGGTCCACGGTGCGAGCGCGCTTGGTGGCGTGGTCGGTTAGGATCTCTTGGACCACCTTCTTCAAAGGGCCCTTCCTAAGAAAGCGAGGGGAGTTGATGGGTACATCTGGGCCTTTCCTGTGAACTTGGAAAATTATTATGTACTGTAGGAAGCCTTCTTCAAAGGCCCTTCTTGAGACTCAGAAAGCTCCCTTGAGAGGAGGGAGGGAACCCACATATTCCGAGGTATCACGGTTGTATGCAAAACAACAGATTCAATCAAGGAACAGTACTATGTACTATATAATGGGAAGCCTTCTTCAGTGGGCCTTCCTGAGAAAACGCTCTCTCCATGGCAGAGTCAAGGGGCACATGACTCAACAGAGGTTCCTTCAAGGACCCAATGGAGAGGCTCCAAGGCGAAGAAACTTCGCAGAAGCTCCCTCCAGAGCTATGCAGGAACCCACAAAGAATCTCCGAGGTATCACTTTTGTACATGAAATCAAGGAACATCATTATGTACTGTTGGGAAACCTTCTTCAAACGGCCCTTCCTAAGGATACGAGGGGAGTTGATGGGTACATCTGGGTCTTTTCTATGTTTTTGGGCTGAAAGAGCCCCCTGAAAAGAAGCCAAAGAGCGGCCACACATTCCAGTATCATCACTTCATCTCGGTATATCTTGGTTTAAAAAACAAAAATCCTTTTTGGATTCTAATTCGCAGCACTCACTTCTGCCCTCCCACAAGCAAAGCTGACCACCCTTGGACGATCATGCAGGCTTTTCTTCCACTTCAGGCTGAGAGTTATCCAAAGTTTGTAGACCAGGCTCAATCACTCATGTTGCCCGAAAAATGTCCGGCTGGACAAAGCTGTGCGTTCTGGCAACATGTCGAGTGATAAGCCGCATCCCCAGTCAAACAAAAGAAGCACCGGACTGTGCCGGGCGGGATTGGGCCGGGCCCCTGAAAAGGCTTGACGGTCAGTTTCCACCTATCAAGCCCAGCCTGCATGAAACAGCGTTCGCTCCTATTCAAAAACTTTCTTCCAAGGAAACATTCATTTTGGATTCTAATTCGCAGCACTCACTTCTGCCCTCCCACAAGCAAAGCTGACCACCCTTGGACGATCATGCAGGCTTTTCTTCCACTTCAGGCTGAGAGTTATCCAAAGTTTGTAGACCAGGCTCAATCACTCATGTTGCCCGAAAAATGTCCGGCTGGACAAAGCTGTGCGTTCTGGCAACATGTCGAGTGATAAGCCGCATCCCCTCACCACTTGTGAACTCCTCAGAAGTCATCACTTGCTGCAGCACCATCCCCAGACTCAAAGGGAAAGCTATGGTTGGAGGAGGCCTCTGACTTAGCATCTGACAGCAATGCGAAAGACGAACTTCCAGACAGAGAAATACCAAGCACATCCGGTGAAGTAGATACAGGAGGAGCCAGCTCATCATCCAACTGGTTGCGGTCCATCACTGCTAAAAGCGCAATGCTGCCCGACGTCGTCGATTGGAAGTAACGCCAGTGAAAGAGCAGCGGCCAAAGCAGGAGCAAAAACGAAACAAGTAGGGGACCCAACCACCAAAAGAAACTGACCGTCCCCCCTCCCCGAAAGGTATCATCCAATACTGAGGACATCGTCATCAGCCAATTTCGTGTTAACATCTTCACCTTCGACATCAACACTGGCCAGGAAACCTGCACTTCAAGGTCCAAAGCGCGAATGCCAGTGGAAGGAGTCGGTGAAGGCAAGCTAATCACTGCTAGGCGCAAAAGGCGCAAGATCTGCTCACGCTCAGAAGCCAAGTCGAGTTCCAAATTAGTCCACAAAGGGTTCGCCCAGTAGACAGCAAAGCGCAGGTGCACCATTTCATAGTGGACCTGAGTGCGGCCATCTGCAATCAAGTGGGCCCATACCTTGGTGGCATTGAACTCAGACAACAGTTCCAAGGACTCCACTGCGGACTGAATAGAGGGTAAGGTTAAAGACACCGAAGTCGTGGCTGCCAGCAGTTGGTCTCGAAGCTCAGGTGTGAGGCAAGGGATCACAATTGGAGCAGCTGTGCCATTGAGCCACTGCCCCAGGGCCTCAGGGCCATCAACAGTGAGAATGCCTGCACAACGAGCAGCCTCCAACCGACTGACATCCACTCCACGCCACACATTCTCAGCAGTGCTAAGTCCATTGGAAGTGGCACTGGTAATTACTTCAGTGGCTGCTGAAGCAAGAGCACCAGTCACATTGATTGCTTGCCCGGCTGCTGTAGAAGTCGTCTCACCCAAGGTGGCAAGAACTCCCAACAAACGTGCAACTTGGAAGAGAGGACCCTCAGCACCACTCATGATGCTCACCACCATCAAAATAACAAAGAACATAGTGCCCCATCCTGCAGAGCCACACCAACAGCGCCAAAGCTTGCGCCTAGTCGAAGATCGATTTGGAGCCGTCGCCCCGCAGCCGAAGAACGCCGCGGCCCTTGCCTTTGCCTTTGGCTGGGCTCCTGAGGGTGTTGACGGGGTAACCAACTTGTTCCATTCTTCTTGGCGGAACTGTCGTTTCTGATGCGTGGTGTAGTGCTCTGGAGGCTCGGGAATCATGTCTCTGAAAATCTTGAGTCGGAAGTCTGGCCGACCTTCCAGGCCCACTGAGGCTGTTCGAGGCCTGGCCATCGTCAGGACTGGAGAGACCAAAGTAGCTCCAGATGTGATGATTCAACCAAGTCGCTGTAGAGGCCAACTTCTGAGTGCCTACTGACGCAGCAATGTGTGAAGCACCTGCAATGTCAATGTAAGTGTTGAAGCTACTCTCAGAAAGCCACCTGCCTCGAGCCTGAATCTCCTTGCGGTCAACTCCCATCAAGACATGATGTGTAGCAAATCCAGCACGACCCGAATGAGCAGTTGTGCCCAAGTGCAACTGGTAATGTGACTCTGCAGCTTTGAAGGCATTGTTGTAGGTTGAGTATCCAAAAGGAAAAATGCGATCACCTGGTTTAGAAGAGGAGACCAACCAAGCTATGAGACTACATGCAAGTGGTTGAGACTCAGGATGCACCAGTACATACTGCTCACGCTTAACCTTAGTGGAGTAGTTGGCCCCCAACCGCACGGTGATGGCGCGCCTCGTGTCCATGGGGAGGTGCACATGGTGCGTCTGCAATGCCAAAAGCTCTGAAGGCCTAAGTCCCGTAGCATGTTGCACCAGCATAGCAGCTCCTACCCGTGGTCTGCCTTCTGAACAATGCCATGCAGCAAAAAGAAGTGCACATTCAGCTGTGAGAGGAACTGTGTGGCGGACTGGTTCAGCTGTAGCTCTGCCCCGCAATGCTTCACGACTGAGCTGCAGCTTGCCTTTCATGTGTGGCAGAAAGAACTCTGCGCTGGCCACCAACATCACATGCTGGGATTTGGTGAGTTCCATTTCGGTGCGATAGTCCATCATCAATCCATCCAAGTCTTCGGAAGAAAGAACATCTAAATCAAGTTGTAACTGCAAAAACTCAATGAACGCTGAAAAAGCTTTCTGATACTTCAAAAGTGTATCAGAGGAAACACGTTGTCTGAGGTCTGGGTGCAACCGCCTCATGCAGCTGCACACATCTGAAAGCCTCATCATAGCAATCTTGAAAGGTCGTCCGCGGGCTGCCTGGCTGACTCGACCCACGGCAAAAATGTTCTGAAGCGGGCTGCAAGACATACAGCCGCCTTCTTTCTGAGGAGTCTGTTCAGAGGGAAAGAAGGGCTGCGTCCCTTAGCCATCGAGCAAGCAGTAGGCATGTTGTCCTGCAAAGAGAAGACCACATGCCCTTGCAATGCTGGCCATGACGCTGCTCTGTTGAGCAATCTGAGCACCGTTCGAGACTCTCCCAGGGTAATATGGTCACCATATCTCCATCTACCTCGCTCCACTGCAAACCAGCGACTTTTCTCAAAGATAGCATCTGGGAGCAATGAAAAAGGAACTGTTGGCAACAAAGATTTCTCTGGGAATTTCGCACCTCCTCCATCTGCTCTTGGAACTGCTCGTCCAACTGCTTCTCCCTGCCTAAGCAGGGCGTCAATTTCGCAATCATTGACTTGTGTGACAGCTATGCCATAACCGCCCCAGTCGATGTCGTTGGAGCCCATTGCGTCGGTTGCAAAGAGCCATGGAAGGATAGGGGCCCCCACATGCACCGTCATCAGACAGACTGTGTGGGCCATTGCCCTGGCCTCATTGCGAACAACCGGCCACCAATTCACAACCTCACCTTCATGCTTGTCGACGAAACGAAAAATTGCATGTGGGACGCTCAACAGTTCTCTGCGTAGAAGGCTGCCAAATATCCACATGCCCAGCAGCGATCTGAGAACATCAACGGAAACTTTGGGCTGGCTGACCAAATGAAGAAGCGCTTCGCGCAACAAGACCATCTTCTTGAGTGGCAGTCTGAACTCTGCTGGTTTGCGCACCACCTCATAGCCAACTACCTTATCCAAATCACCTGCACGAGATTGTTGGGATAACTGGAAACCAATGAGCCCCAAACCACGAACCGTTTCATCCAAAAGAACATCGCTGTGAAGCTTGCCTGCATCGCTGGTGCTGATGAAAACCGTGTCATCTACATGAACATAGACGGCTGACTGCTTTTGATCCAGGCGCACACTGTAGGTTCGAGCCGTTGCTTCATTCAGCAAAGTGATCCCTGGGCCTCCACTCGAACCACCACTGGACCAAGAGGTGATCCTTGGAGCTGAAGTCTGACCAGGGAGCAAAAGGGAGCCTGTTGGGCCCGAATGATTTGCAGCCATGCACTGCAGAGTCTTGAAGAGCATCTTCGCCATAGCCTGACACAAGCCAGGTGGATAAGTTTGCAACCGTCTCGCGTAGAACGATCCATCCGGAGCTCTACCAATTGAAATGCCATGCTGATGGGTTGCACTCACACCTGGGCATCTGGTGCCATCCACAAGCTTCATACCCAGCAAATTGCCTGAAAGAGTGGTGGGCTTTGGGCATGAACCACCAAAAGCGCACTGGTGCAGATGTACTCTATGGCCATTGACTCTACGTTCCAGCTCAATCACTTCTGGTGTCACCCAGATGCTAGGATAGGGATCTTTGCCAGGATCAGCTGGATGCTCCATCAAGTAGCCACCTCCGCGGCTGGCCACTGCTTCAGCCATTGCAAGAAAAGTTCAACCAAAGTGCGTTTGCCTCTCTGACACGCTCTCTTTCATGAGGACGAAGGTCATGTCTACCCCACAATGCCCAACGAAATCTGAGAGGTCGAGGGCCCCCAGGAAGTGGAACATGTCTAGCACGTGCCACTGTTGAACAAGGAGGACCACCAAACCAGAGGTCAATCAGGCCTTCTTCTGCAAGAGCTAGAAGCTTGTGCAACAGTTTCGGATCAGCAAAGTCCCAACCTGGGTCATCAGCCAGGTCAACTGTTAGCATCAAAAGTTGAAGGCCTTGAGCTGCACACAACTGTTCCAAGAAAAATTGGATGTCCTCTGAACGTCGCTCACCCCCGAACATGTGAATAGCTACGAAGACACGTGAATTGCCATGCTTGGTTTGTCTGACTGCATTGCACCACTCGTCGACGGTCCAACCACATCCTTGACCCACCATGTGTCTTCGATGATGCTGCCTAAGTACCCAGTCTTCATCAGATACCATTGCACCGTCATCACCAAAGCCGTCGTCATCGTCAATACTACTAACAAGGCCTATGCTGTTCTCATTTCCTGCTTGCCCTTCTTCTCCCTCAAGTCTCAACCGAGAAGCAAAGTTGAAAAGAGTGCTACCGATATGATGGAGATTGATGCGCATAAGAATGTAAACCGAATGACTCCCACCCATTGCCAACCTCAGATACTTAGGGGCCACATATGTTGCATTGGGAAACGGGATCTGCAGTTTGAGAGAATCATCCAAGAGGTCCCATGCATCTGACGCCAATATTGGGGGAGCCGCTTGCCAAGCAGCCATCCATGCCGGCACTTTGACATAGGTGAAAGCAGAGTCCTCATCACAGGCCGCCACTTCCATGCTGTCAGCCTTCAGGAAGCACCTAGCCAGTGAGGAGCCGCCACCCATCCCGAGGTGGGCACGCTCAGCCGGATCTCCGAACATGTAGTTGGCTGCACACTGCATGATGAGCTTACGTTGATCATGCCCATTCTTTTTCAGAACCGTAGAAACACCAGCAACTGCTTTGATATTCTCCATGAGGTCCCATTCCCACAATTGCCGCACATCATCACGACGCAAGTAGGCCAAAAACTCACTAAGCTCACCACCAATGAAACCATAATGGCTTTCAATCTCCTTGAACAGCACTTCACTCTTACCACCTGCCTCTACCACATGGTGTTCCTGTGCATAGTAAAGGGCATCTTCCGGGGGCAGAGCACTAAGCATATCAATATATTCAACCTCAGTTGGTTCAACCATACGAGAAGCAAGCATGGGCACCTGTCTGACACCAGTGGGCCGGACATAGCCAGATTCATCCAGTGGAGCTTTCAAAAGGGATGCCACAGCACGGACGCCTGTCAAGTCGAAACTCCGGCGTGCCCTGACTTCCAAAGACACCTTAGTAAGAATGTGCTTCAGAGCCAGTGCCCTAGCTGGCGTAACCTTCATCCGGCTTCCGCACTGCTGATCAGGCGCAGTCAGCGAGGGGGCCAAAACATGCCCCGTGTGCAACGAGTTGATCACCTTGACAACATTGACTGCAGCTCTACGCACTTGAAGCCGTCTCTTCTGTCGCATGCGCAGTCTGCAGCTTCTAAGTCGTTTCCAGTGAACCAACTCGGGCAAAGGAAGTGGAAGGAGGGGCCACACATCATGGCCCTCAATGAATTCTGCGACTGTAGGCATGAAACCACCAGCCGCCGTCCACTGCAAAGTTTCTTCCAGAGTTGCAGCCCGTGGACCCAACTGCAGCTCTGATGGCAGAGGGTGTCACCCCTGGGTGGCCTGGCCACCCTTCTTGTTGGGCGGCTTGCCATTTCCACGTCCACCAGGGCGCCCCCCACCTCGTTTGCCTTTGCCGTCCCCTTTTGCGCCATGACCTCCTCCATGCTCGAGCTTGTTAAGCTTGCCGCCCCGCTCCAGACGCTGATACTCTGCCTTGGAGAACAGGTTGGCATCATCCAACATCCACTTCGGGGCAATGTCGGCATTGGTCCCTGGAGCACGCACACCAAGCATCCGAAGTGCTCCATTCTTGTCCTTGGTGCGTCTGAAGTAGATGAAGGACCCCAGCTTACGCAACTGAATCTCTAAGGTGTCAGACACAGCAAGCTTACTCATCAGATCAACCTCAGACCTGCAATCTGCGAGCTCAAAGTCAATGATGGTGGCAGCCGTGAACAAGTCCTGGAACTGAGTCGTGTTGCGAGCCTCCAACCCAGCATGCTGCTCATTGACCCACTGGCGAACTGAAGACACTCCCTCTGCTCTTATGTTACGATAGATTTCTGGACCAGCCCTTTGAAGATCTGCTGGAAGTCGAAGGTGCCAAGCCATGCGTTCTGGATCTGTGGGCATTGCGCTGGAATTGGCGGCTTGTAGCAAGGCCCCACCAGCACCGTGCGGCACGGCTCCCAAGGTCTCCAGCTCGGTCAGCTGGCGCTTCAATTCATCATACCTCGGTGGCCCCACTGTAGCCGGACCCACATAGCCATGGGCTTCCAAAAGCTTTTGTACCTGACCTTGGAGTCCATGCAAGTCTGCCTCATTCTTCACGGCTTGCCAGAAGAGAGCTCCCCAAGCCGGCTGAATGCTTTGCAAGGCATAGGACTTGTCCAGGCTAGTGCGAACACGGGAGGCTTGCAGTTTGGTCGCCTCATGACTGCCACTATTTGCGTAAGGGGCATACACACCATTAACACCAGGCATCGGTTCACTAACTACTGACCCAACGGGAACTGCCCTCGCTTGATCAGCTGCCACCACGGTGAGGCCCTCATGTGAAATGCGTGCAACTCGAACACCTGAGTCAAGGTCAATGTCATAGCCTCCATTTGCCGATCCAGCAATCGACCCCTGCAGTCCCAAGAACGGAGCTGTGTTGCCCACCCCATTCAGCAGCACTCGAGTGCCAGTTGCCAAAGCGCCAGGTCCAGGGTTCAGCCCTGGAGGAGTAAACGCCACATTCAACGTAGTTCCAGCACTTCCTCCTGGCACAGGCGGTGCAAGCGGTGGTTGAACCGCAGGGGGTAGAACATGCTGCTGACTTGAACTGCTTGGGCGGGGTCTCAACACAGGTGGCTCAGCGGCATGACTGGTCATAGACGATCTATACCACAAAGGATACCCATAGTACCATAAGGCCATACTCATCCCAACCAACATAGTGCTAAACATCACCAAGTAGAAACGCCAACGCCCCGAGGCCAGCATCTGGTCTGCGCCGAAGCCCAGGAGTCCCAGGCCCAAGGTCCATAGCGGGCTGCCCAACCTGGGGCGGCTGCGTTGTGTGCTGGCATGGTGCACTGTAGGTCCTGCCACAAACAACTCTGCCATCGTGTCATTCCATGTCTCTTCATTGCCACATATCAAGGGGAAAGAGTCAGCCATTGCGGTGCGTGACACAGCAGCTAAGTAAAGGTTCCAGAGTAGGTCCACTTTACGAAGTACATCTAGTGGAGCAACATCGGGCTCTGCTTCCAACCACTGTACCAAAGGCTGAACACAACGCTGGATTGCCAGCCGCTGCCCCCCAAGATCCTCTGCTACCGGGCTAGCTCTGATGCGATTCCTCAGTAACAAAAGCACCTCAGTCAGAGCATCATAGTCGCGAGCATCGTTGAGGCCGGCAACCGTGAAGGCTGCTACTGCCTCAGAAGTCGCTAATGCCGAAAGCCTCGACATGCCAGGCGGCCCACGCCTGGGACGACCTACGGGCTCGTCATATTGAGCCCCTGAAAAGGCTTGACGGTCAGTTTCCACCTATCAAGCCCAGCCTGCATGAAACAGCGTTCGCTCCTATTCAAAAACTTTCTTCCAAGGAAACATTCAGGGTTGTGGGTCTTGCAAAGTGGACCATAATTACTTGTGGGCTTCAGGGTGTTCAACGATATTTCGCCACGAATTGTGACTTGGTGATGGGAAAGCGGCGCTTGCTCGAGGGCAGCGAGCCTGGATTCAAGGCAATAAAGCGGGTTCGTCTTTTTGTCGGAAGGGCAATGATGACATACCCCCCCCCAAAACTGCTTGAAGAGAGTAATTACCAACCTAGACATGATGTAATATATAGAAGGGGTAGTATAAGGGGTATAAAAGGAGGATATGAAGGTTGTGTGTGTGTATGTTCACCCTTGCGTTGAACCGAGGCACCGAGGGCGCATTTTGAGACCCCACATTTTGAGGCAGTGGGGAGACCATGAACAGGCTCAAGACCTCCGGTGAATTTTTCGGTGGACAAGTTTGGCATAGGGAAAACCAACCAACCATAGTTTTCTTGCCCGTGTAAACCAGTTGCGCAGCGACCTTGGCAAAAAACGGAAAGAGGAACCCTCCTGGCGTAGACCACCGACCACCTACCAAGCAAAACGGGGTTGAAGGGCTCACAAGTTGCCGCTTCGCGGCTCTTGAAACTTGAAGGCTTCCAGCACGCTGGGGTCGATATCGTACGTGACTGCTGGGCCTTGCCGTGTTTGAGGAAGGGGAAGCAGAGAGCAAAAGCCAACCACTTTGGGGCTCTCCCATTCGACATGAAGTCCGAGCACCCGGGATGACCCGAACAGTGCCAAACCACGGGCTGGGGGGGAAGAAAAGATTCCATTTTCAACATACGCTCTGCATGGAGGATGTCCGCCAAATTTGGATGAGCTTCAGAACGCACATTCTGGGCCAGAATCTTGGGCCAGATTCTGGGATTTGGGACAAGCGATTTGACCCTTCTGAGGTGCTGAAATGCTGGATCGCTGTTCCTAATCCTTAATCCGTTGTGGGACACCACTACAACAAGGGAAATTGCTAGCATCTGGAACGAACAATTTTTCGGATTGCCTTGGCACAATCTAGCGGTACTCATTTCAGCCAAATAGCTGGGAGTCCCTTGTGAAGCGGGTGGGTTTCGCATGTGTTGTTGGTGTTGTTGTCGGGCTTTGAGCGTCCAAGCGCGCGCCTAGCCCCGCCTGCACCTCTCAAGCGAGACTGTGAAACACCGCATCAATCCGGCCATCAAGGCCGGAAACCCGAGAATACAGGGCGAGCGTTCACTAAATGGGGGTAAACATCGAGAACAGGTCACCCGCGGTAAATCCAGCGCCGTTTCCCTGCAAAGAGCTTCTCAGGCCGAACCCCTCGTGCACCGGGATATGGGGCATCCCAGACTTCCAGTTGTCAAAAGGCCATCGATTTTTGGTAGTGGATAACCGGAGGTTTGGGATAGCCTTATGAGGCATATCCCCAAAAAAAAACTCAGCCATGCTGATGTTTGTACCCGTCCCTATGCACAAACCCCAACAGTTGGAAGGTGGTTTGTCCCAGTGGTTTCATCCTGGTCCAGCATGCTTACCTCCGCCCCCCCCGGGCTTGGGCTCCCCTGCCATCCATCTCGCCGCCTGAAAAACCGCCCCGCACACAGCACGTGAGTGCCTATGTGCTTATGGATATTTACCTGTATATATATATATATATTTATTTAAGTATACGTACGTATATGCATATGGGCATACATTTTAATTGGGGGCCCTTTGGTGGACATCATTTAGGTGGGAATTCATGTCATCCATCACTTTTGAGGTGGTTCCCTGTTAAATTTAATGGCCATCTCTGCATTTGTTAAGGGGTTGCTACATAGTGCAAGATTCACGGGTGGCCATATTTTTGCTAACTGTTGCCACCTGCAAAGGAGCAAGTTGTACCAACATGGCACTCTTGTCAGAGCGTGCTACTTCAAATTGGCGATGTCGTTCTTGCAGAACCATATGTGTGACACAACACGCTGCGACGGTACGTGAAAAAGCTCCAGCATTCATTGGAATCACAACCTGCCTTTAAAACAAGAAGCAGCCGACCTACTTGATCATCATCTGCATGCAGATGCCATGCCAAGCTTAGCAGGCCTACCGACTTTGCGGGCTTTCTGAACGCCATTTGCATGTACACGCAAGAGTGTTGACACATGCATACTTGCCGCCTGCAGTACTTACCTACCTATATACATGATGTCCCTTATCTTACGATACTTTACAACCGCCCGCCCGCCAAGCCATCCACCCGTGCATACATGCAAACAGACGGACCCCACACACACACACACACACATGTGATTCTATTGTATGCGGCTTCATATATGTATACAGTATACTGTATACTGTATACATATGTGTATACATATTGCATGCTCGTGTTTATTTATTTCTGTGTTGATGCGCTTATGGACACGACTAGTTGTTCATTGAACCCAACTGAATTTGCAGTGGTTTCAACCCATACGACAACAAGCAGAAAGGGAAATCACAAAGCCACAACGCCTTCACCAGCTGAAGCACCACAGCAATTTAAATAGCTGACAAGACCGCCAAGCTGTCTGATCTGGTTCACAGCGCCTGACACGCCAAACCGTAGGCAAAAGCCGCAGGCCCACGACCCTTACAGGAAAGCTGGGTGCTAAATAGGGGGTCTGAACAACAAGACAATTACCCGTGCCGTTTTGAGTTCTTCAGAGGAAGTCACCCAAAAAGGCTCGGAAGCAACCTTTGAGGCGGCTCGTTTCTTTTCAAGGGTTCTCGCTGCGATCTGCAGAGGTCTGTCCCTTGCCTCCGCTTTGGGAAATCGCAGGAGGTTTACGGCCAAGCCTATCTTTTGACTTTGGGATTCCCCTGTTCAAAAAATGTTTTGCCACTTGAACATGCTTAAGCGCCCGTAGTTTAAACAACCTCCTTTTCGGTTCATCTTTGTAAAGAGCAAAACAAAACACGCGGCTGTTTCAACACGTTGCCCAAGCCTGCCGTCGCCTTCGCAAAGTAACCTAAGACACGTTTCCCACAATCAAAACAGAGAATCCAACAAAACAAAGAAACGGAAACCACAACTAGGCGCCACAGCTGAGAGCCCGGAATAAAACCTACAAACCACCCATTCCCTATAAGTTTTACTTTGGGCACAACAAGAATATGGTTGCTACAGTATTTGGGTGCAAACTATAAAGGGGACCCTTGGAGAACATCATTTTGGGCGGGGAGTCTATCACTTTGAACATGGCCCCCTGTCCAATGCCCCAGCCCGTTCCGCCGAGCGATGACCGAAGGGCCTGGCAACTCCAACATCTGCACGTGGTGCAGCGCAGACTCGAGGAGCCGTGCGCTCTCTGTGGAGCGCTGGCCCACCGCGATGTTTTCCTTTGGCTTCCCTGTGACACAGCCCCCAACCGGGGGAGGGGGGGGGAAGCCTCAAAAACCAGAACATCACCCATGCACGCCCTCTTGCGGATTGAACCTGGAAAGCAACAAGCATCCTCTTGGACCCGTGTTGAGTTCCTTGTTTAATTTGCAGGGGCGCAGTGTTACAATCCAAGTGGTACGAGTCAGGGACTCGCTTCGTGATTGGATTGGCCAAGAAAAGTCCCAAGTGTTTGGTTGCCACTGGTCCTGAAAAGCTTGGGGATTCCTTTCAGCAACTCCAGGAGTGCAAGGCCCTCGACTTCCATTCGCTTGAGACCCTGGAGGAATAAAATATGTCCAGTAGTGATAGATCCCCTCCAAAACCAACAATGGAAAAATGAAACCTATGGCTATGGGTCAAAACCCTGTAATCCTGGTGAACATCAAAATAGGTGGTAATTACATGGGTGTTCATCCGCCCCAAAATGGCTCGCCATAGGTTCTGACCCATGGCCATATGGCTGTGGCTCAAAAACCGCTCCCAAAATGGCTTGCCCTGGTAAGTGGAAACATGGACCAAAGCCTGCGGTTGCCCCTCCGATCGTTTAACCCATGTGAGTCATTGAGCCGGTACTTAAGCGGAATGTACTCACTCCTGACTTCCAGAACGGTACTCTTTGCGGGAAGACCATTGTAGTGGCTAGCAAGCGTGCAAATTCTTAAGCAACTGGACACCTCGAACTCGAAATCGCCGTCGAGTCGACGTAGGTCGACGTAGGTCGACGAGTCCTCGTGGGTGAGGCGAGCCAGCAACTGGTCCACAGAGCTCTGCCACGCCTCATGCTGTTCCTGCCGGAGAGGTGGCTGTCCAGCCCAGTCCATTTTGAAGCTCAAGAATGCTTGCGCAACCTCTTTGCCATCTACAGCCCCAGAAATGCCGCTGCTGATCGGCTGCTGAAGCAGAGTGAGGACACCAAGTGGGAGAATGACCTGAACAAGTTAGGCCATGCCATCCAGGAAGGGAGGCTAGACTAAGCGTACCCGATGATTTTTTCCTGTAGTCTATTTTAGCAGGGGAACCCTCCTCCCAGGAAGGGTGAGAAAGGGCACTACTAAGGAACCTAGTACCCATTGTTCTACCCTGTGAATTGTTCCAGCAGCTTTGGGAGGCGCGGACTCATCTCCTGGGTGGATTGGCCGCACAAAATCTAAAAGGTTGTCACTAGATCTGTTGTGAAGTCCAGGATCCCAGGGAATAACCAAACCAAAGGGGGTGCCCTTCGTCTATCAAGTGAGATCATCCGCGACCTAAAAGCACCATCCCACCCAAAGGATCAAAAAAGCCATGTTGAAACCACCAAAAACTGCACAGTAAGGACCCCTGATGAATCGCAATGAACCATTCCAACTCACCAAGCAAAATGATATGGACAACTCAAGACAAGGTTCAGTCGCACCGCGCCTCCTATAATTCGCATCAGGGCTGGGCAAGCGAAATGCTTAAAAGGTTCAAACTACGCGGGGCGCTCGGAACGTTTAAACGTGAATGTTTAACATACAATGATGACAGGTTGTTTAAGCTCCCCAATACTGCTTAATTAAAAAGGGGGGTGGCTGCTTAAACACCCAGGAGCCATTCAAAAATCCCAAGAACGCTTGCAAATGCCCGGTCTGCTCAAACATGCTGAAACAGTCAGTCCTTGTACGCAGCTCAGCGGCGCTCAAACTGCAACCTTCTTTAAACACGCTCATCTTTGTATGCATGGTCGGTCTAAACCTGTTTTGTCTTGTTTATGTTGAGACATAATTTGCATGGACCCAACAAGCCAAACGAAGCAACACTTTTGTTTAAACGTGTTGAAAATACAATCCTACACCTGGTTTACCATCCGTTAGCTTCGTCAAAGGCGAAGATGCAAGATATTACCAAAAGTTGGCCCAGTGCGGAGGATATATGGCCACGCGGCATAACCTATGACTCCATTTTGGGGTGGATGAACCTCCATTTGTCACCTATTTTGACGTTCACCAGGAGTGCAGGGTTTTGACCCACAGCCAAATCCCGTTGCCGGGCTTGGGCCCTCCTTGCATCATGATTTCGCACGTTTCATGGGGAACCCGCCGTCGGCGGCCATCGGGTAACCCGCCGGTCCTTGAGGAGCGCAAAGCCCTGCACCGACTCCTGAAGGGCGCTATCCGAAAGAGGCATCTGGTCCAGCCGAAACGGGGGCCCCTTCGTTTTTGTGGACCCCCAAGCTGCCTTGTTCTGTTTGGGCCCAACGAAGGGATAAATTGAAAGGTCTCAAAACAAGTTTGGGGTTGGAAAACAAGGTCGCTTCAGCGTAGCAGCTCATAAAAGGTGACAACCCTGAGTCCACTCATTTGCTCGTAACTGACAAAGGTCAGTTCAGCAGGGACTTTACGACTTGACGACTTTGTGGCAGGGGCCTTCGGCATCACATAATCCCCTAAAACACTTCCCGCAAGCATCTGATATCAGCCTGGCAGCCTGGCGAAGGCTTTGGCACCTGAAATGCCAACATGGCGGCTTACAGCGTCGTCTTGTCAAGAAAAACTTCCCCAGGTGCGATGTTGGTGGGATCGCCCCTGGGCGTGAACCATAAGGACCAGAAACCCAACCACCGGGATCCCCCGCACCCAAAGCTGGCTCCTTCTGCTGCTTCTGCACTTCCTTCAGCTGTTCCTCCAGCGCCTTGAGTGGCTTTACCTCCGGATGCGGCATCCGGCCAGCCCTGGACCCCACCGGTCGGTCAGGTCGCTTCACTTCGGAAAGCTGAGAAGGAAATGGCCGCGGGCATGGGTTGCTGTAGACGTTAGACCTGGTCCAGAATGACATTCTCAAAATCACCGCCCCCCTCAAACGGTTCGCTTTGAGAGGGACTCCTAGAAAAGAAAAAACAAAACCAACACATGCCACGACACCACATCCGCCCGGGCGTGCGCCCAGGGGGTGGCGGGTCGGCACAGCAAACATACTTACCCGCCATTCTGGCTGGTGAGAGTGTCCCAGGGTAGCTCTGAGAATGAAACGAAGTGACCAGCAAATGTAGCAAACGCATGAGGTTTCCTTGGATAGAACATATGATGTCGATTCCAAACAGATTCCCGGTGGTTTTCTGCGAAAGGAACCATGAAAAACCTCATACGCGTGTATACGAGCAGAAAAATGCAGATAAGTATGTATACATACAGAAACAGATAGATATATACAGGATATATACAAGTATACATAAGATGAGTGGTTTCATGGTCAGTCTCAAAACGAGCCTGTTAGAGGGGGGGGGCAGTTGGCCTCTATCCTCCCAGTCTGGGACTTTACCATAGCTATCAGCCCAAGACTTCCCATGTCCATGCCCAGATCCGCAATCATTGGGCTCATGGAAGTTCCTTTCAGATTGGAAATCAGGAGGGCCAGAAATTCCGTAGTGAAGCTGGACCCCTAAAAACACTGCCGCACACTTCACGCTGGGGTAAGGGTGCCCAAATCACCCCGAATCCAAGTACATGCTCAGGCCAGGCCACAGCCAGCACAAATTGTACTGTTGCCCTTTGGTGCTAGGAGGCTCACAAAGCAAAGGTGCATTGACCCTAACTTGGATTGAGAGCCTTGTCTCGAACCCACCAAGGATGCCTAATCCAAACCAGAAAGGAGATCCCCAAAGTCTGGCAGGCACGCCTCGTTTTATTCCATTTTTCGGAGTTGTGCAAGCTAAACCTTGCAAATGCAGCCAAATATCTGCCAAAAAGAAGAAGGACAAGTTGGTTGTCTTTAACACCACCCCAAAATCAGCTTCCCTGCTCTTCGTGGTGTGGATTGGTGGTTGGTTAGTGGTTTCCCATTTGCCCTCTGAGGCCAGGGCTTCAACTCCCCAAGCCACAACTCCAAATCACCTCTCGCTGTCTGAAAAAAAGAGAGAGCGCGACCAAAAAAAAGGAGTACACACAAACAACCCCCCCACACCCCCCCCACACCCCCCCACACCCCCCCACCGACCACCCCCCCACCCACACACACACACACACACACGCACACACACACACACACACACACACACACACACACACACACACACACACACACACACACACACACACACACGCACGCACGCACGCACGCACACACACACACACACACACACACGTAGACAAATTTGGCGTTCCCTCGCCCCTCGGCCCCCAGCTGGTGCCAGGTGGTCTCCTCCACACCCCAGGGCTGGCGACCCTTTGGCGCCGTGGGGAGCACCACCCGCAAGGTGTCGCTCGGCCAGGGGATGGAGAAGCCTCGCAGAGGTCTCACTCGACTAGGTCCTCCAGATTTGAGAGGTTCGAATGAGAGTACCCGATTTTTCTCTGTAGTCTATTTTAGCAGGGGAACCTCCCCCAAACAAGGGTGAGAAAGGGCACTACTGGCCCGTCGATCTCGAATGAACTCCGTATTTTCCCAGGGGACTGGACATTTTGTTCAAAAAAAGGATTTCTGAAGAATTGGGAAGTTGCGGATAGAGTGGAATCTAACTTCCTCAGCAGCTTCATTTTAATTCCAGTTGTCCCAAACTTCTCCGTGGAAAAACGTATTCACACCCCTATAGGCTGCAATGTTTAAGTGAGCTTCCTGTTGCAAGGTTGTGCCGCAAAGGGCCCTGATTACCACAAACAGGGGGCCCCCAAAGAAGATTCCTGTACAAATCTTGCCGGGGAATTCTCAGGCTTCCTCCGAGAAGTCACATAGCTCAAAATTATGCTGGCCCGTGCACCTGCAAGACGAACAAGAGCCTCCAAAGGTATTTAGCGACAAAAACAAACAAACAACACAAAGATCGAATCAGGGCTCGCACGAACTTCAAGCGCTCGGACGACACAACCAAAAGCACCTGGTGAGAGCTCATCCAGTAATGGCTGCACATACTCCCGGCCGCCTCAGCAACGCAAAGCTTGAACGTTTAATTGCGTTGGGTGGTTTCTGGGGAAAGCGTTAATTCTGCGGTAACTTCTTTTTCAAAAGTCTGGAATTTAAAACTGGACAAATTACTTTGAAAGACAATACGACTATTGTCCTGAAGGTTGTAGGAACTTCTCAGGGACCCTCATCGCAGGGCCCCTTAGTCGGTTTGCGCATGGTGGGCGAGCTCGCAAACCAAAGGATGCGATTGCCCCGCCCTCCGCTCGCTTCGAGGGCGATCAACTTTGCAAGCTATTGATATTGCTATTGCTATTGTTAATGTGTCTAGTACGTGTAGTCTTTTATTTGTTTTTTAATTGACGCTACTTACGTTCAGTAATGGATTTGAGACTCTTGGATTTCGGTTCAATTGTTAGTGTTTGTCTTAGAACTACTGTTAGCTCTGCCGGAGTCGCAGGAAACCAAAGACGGCAACTTCAACATTCACCCAAGTGGGCTCAAGGGAAACAACCTGGCGCCCCAAATTTGTAGTTCCCAAAATGGCACAAGTGGGCTCAAGAGTGCCTTGGCACCGAACATCGAACTCTCAAAGACTCATTTCCTACAAACGATTGAGCAGCGGAAGGAGTCTTCTTCTCTGCTGCGTTCCCAGGTGTCGCCTTGCAAAAACAAGTGGCGTAAAGGGAAATGACCTGAACCTCACAACGCATTGCAAGCAGGGCTCCCCACAGCGGCCAAAGGCGTGCAAGTAGACGAGCCTCGGACACATTGCGGGCTCGAAGGACTGCTTCGTGGCACTGTTGGGAGCCAAGACGGTTGGTTGGAAACCCTGAGCACAGTGCTCTTCATACAAGGTCTTCCTTTGCATGGCGGTCTTCCTTTGCAGTTCTCCTTCAAACCAACCCAAAGCAAATATCCCACCTCCATTTGCTTAAGTCCCCTGGAAAAAACAAACATATTTCCAGTAGTGATGGATCCCCTTTAAAACCAACAGGGGAGCATGAAACACATCCTTAACCAAATGGAAGCTGAGCACAGTGCTCCAGGCCGGCCTGCCAGAAGCCCAAGGCTTGGGGTTGGGTTGCCAGGCGTCCGGGAAAAAACAAGGTCAACCCTCAGAGAAAGCCGCCAAACACTGTCCTCGTGATGTTACCATCAAAATCACCCCCTAAGTGGTGGGTTAAAGGGAAACAACCGAAACCATTTTTTGACTTTGATCACCCCCAAAAACTGTCAAAATAATGACCCCTGAAACACCTCCCGTTTCTCCTTCACTTGCTATTCGCGCCATGGTGCGTATGGCTGTGACTGCCCGGCGTAGCGGGAACGGCCACATCCTGCAGATCCTGGTGAGCACGGCCAAGTCAGCATGGGTTGTTTAAAACGGGGGTGGTGGGTTGACCTTTTGAAGGGCCCTTTTAGCTAAGTTGCTGGCCCTTGGGCCCGCAAGGTCTAACCTTTCGTAGGTGGAAGTAAAGCAGTTTGTTTCTACAAGGTCTAAGGCGCGTTGCGGTAACTTTGCCACTGAAAGAATCCAAATCCCTAAGCCGCCCGAAAGCCCCCTGCTCCCCCAACCCCCGCGGCCAGTCAATCCAGAACACACAATGGGGAACGGACACACAAATGATCCGGATTCCCACTAAAAAGGGACAGCCCCCCTATTAATCAACCAAGGGTTGGTTTTGCTTAATCCAGGGTTGACCTTATCGCCCATTTGATTTGACCCCGCTTTTACCAATCTCCGATTTGTCCGAAGATGATAGCCCAGTTGCCTTTGACCCTTTCTCTTCTTGTTTGGGTTTTTTCCTCCTTCGTATATACCCCCAAAACATGGTTCCCATTTTCTGCCACTGGGTAGCTGGGGATAACTCAAAAGAACGCGCACATCCATGCCAGTCGTTCCAGAAATGTCGGCCGGATTCAACCTGACGGTGTCCCCTCACAAGTGAGGGATTCCAGTTTGCAACTTCCTTCGGGATCGGGGCATTCCCCAGCAGTGAAGAAGCCCTTGAACCCAACCTATGGTTTGTATAATCCTTAGCTTCAGGAAGCTTGCTAAATTTATCCCGTTGACAAAAGGGGAACCGATCACTACTGGAAATATGCTCGTTTTCCCAAGGGACGGGTCCCAAAAGCGTCCGGCGTCCGACCTATCCGTGCCTTCCCCAGCCACTGGCTCCGTATTCCTCTGAGTCCAAACATCGGTTTCTGTCTATAAGATATCTCGACTTTGTGAAAACGGCACTAGCACCCGGAGAAAAATAATATCTGAGGAGCACCTCTAGGCTGGTACGGGACATGGTTTGCCTTTGCACCGAAACGGAGCCTCGAGAAGGTGAGCCCAAGTTCTCCGCGAACCGCCCAGGCCAAGCCCAAGGAAACCGTCGGAAACCCACCGTCCGGTCCCCGGCCTCCTCCGTCCACACAGGCGCAGTGGGATCCCATCGCTCCTAGCGGAGAGGAAACCGGCACCATACGGCAAAAGAAACTCACTTCCCAACCTGGTGATGAGACTCCGGGAGTCTAATGAACCCCTGGCAGAATCATAGGGGTGACCATTTTGTAAGGGAATCCTTTGCGTTAAGAGGGAGCACCCTGAATCCACTAGGCTGCTTAAGGGTCAACAGCATTTACTGGCAAAGTTACCCAGCCTCCATTTCGGCGAGAAACTCACAGCTTGCTAGCGGCCCTTTGTTCAAGCGAGTTCCAGTCTGGTGCCGCCCGCCCCCGCAAGAGGTTTACGAGAAGGGGTGCCCGTCTCTGGGAAACCAATAGTTCAACATGGCCCCAAGATGAGCAAAAAAGAGCCGAAAAAGACCAGGCAATCCAAACACCCCACACCAAGTAGACCACACGCAGGAGGAAAGTGAGCACGACTCGGAGCGGTCGTCTCCGGTCCCCTCGGGGTTTCAGAGGAAGACTGCAGGGAAAACAAGCGATCCTTTGGGGATTCCCTATTTCAAGACACACTCTTTCTTATGGTAAGGGTCCCCATGCCACACCCGGACTTGCGTCTTGTACCTCCAAGGGGCAAATTTGGAGAGCCCCTGATGCAGGACCCTTTTACCACTATCAAGGTCACTCCCTAAGTAGTGGGACGAAACACGGAGCAATCTCAGCTTCTCAACTTCATAACCCCCCCCGAAGAAAAAAACAAAAACTGGCATCGGCATCCCCCCCCCCCCCTCCCCAGCCTGGCAGCGCCGAGCCGTTGAAGCGCCCAGCAAGGCACCTTGGCTGAGGGAACCCAGAAATCTGAAACGTATATATGCCCAACTCTATAAGCCAAAGGGAGCCACTATATGGGGTCTCAAATTTGGTCTCAGTAACTCAGTGATATAAACATGTCGATACAATGAGGGGAGTTGGGCCATTTCCCCTCCAAAGATCCCCATACTCAAGTCTCGGTACAGTGCGGGCGTCGATTCATGCACAAGGGACAACGGCATGTCTTAAAAATATAGCTGCGGCGAACATCAAAAAGGGTGGCAAATGGATGTTCATCCACCCAAAAATAAAGCCATAGGTTATGCTTTGACTGGCAACAGAGATTCAACCTCTCTGATCTGGTCCGCGCTGCCGCAAACCTTTTCACCTGCAAGTAGCCGTCCACGCACGGTGTGCGTGTCAAAGACACAAATATGGCCGAAGGAATTCCTATGTAAACCGAAATGCACCGGCGGGTCACATGGTCATGCACAGAAGATGGAGGCAAGTCTAGAGGCCAGATATTCACATGCCCCAAAGTCTTTTGCCAGAAACTTCTGCGTTGACCGGATTATCTGCCAACCCGATCTTCTTGCGCTTCTTCTGCGACAGAAAGTTCTCATCTGCCACAAGCGTCCAGGCGCCATCCGTCATGGCCTTCTTCAGGCACGATGATGGCTGGTGTTTTGTCAACCCATCTGCCAGCTGCGCACCACTGTGCACCCACCGAACTGATGTCTTTGCTTCTGCTAGTCTCTCCATCACCGACAGCACTTCCAGAGCTGAGTACTTGTCCGACAAACCCAAACCGCTCGTTGCTGCATCCCCACGGCTCACAGCGTCGTAAAGAGATTTGGCATCTGTCACCATCACTCCAGGGGTTTTCTGCAAACTGTTCCCCGGGCTCTGCAAGTCGATGCGTTCACCAAGCATCTCACGCCACTGCAAACGACACCACATCAGCTCCTGTTCACCCTCAGAGAATGCTTGAGCTTCTGCAGCTAGCGAGCTGCGAGCCACGCGCCGCAGTTTCGTTGATCTCCAGCTCAACATGCACACAGGTGACCTACGACCTTCAAGCAAAGCCGGAGGGGCCGCCGCCACTATGTATCCGCCTGTCGAGCCTCCGTCACCACGATTGGCTAATGCCGCGTCTGTCCAGCAAACCATCACCACTTTCTCGAGCTCACATTTCAGCGGTTGCAACCGGGGAGACGAGTGTCTCTCCGCATAGACCTCGCGAACTAACTTGTTCACTTCACGCAAAATAGCGACAGTCGGGGCCTTAACCATGGTCAAGAGCTGTCCCAGTTTCGCCGCATGTTGAGGTCCACTCTGCTGCACACGCCACTGAACCGCACCTAAAATAGCGCGCATCTGCTCTGTTTCTGTGGGACTGGCGGGAGCATGATCATCTCGATCCTTCAGATCGATCTGCTTCATGCTAGTGCAATATTTGCTGTGATCCAACTGAATCTCACCAGTGCTAAGCTGCTGCACGATGATGCCACAATGCTCAAACACATCTGCTTCCCAAGGGCTCCACATGTATGACTGCTTGAAGTTCACCAAGAATGCGTTCCAAGTGGGGTCCTGTTCATCACCTACCATGTAAAAGTCATCCACATGCGAGGCAATGATTCCACAAACACTGCTGTCGGGACCGCGAACAATCCACATGCAAGGCTCGGTGTGGATAGCTTCGCCTCCAATGAGAAGAATGCGATCTCGCACTTCGCAGAACCATTGATACGGGGCGTTGACCAGCCCGTAGCAAGCTTTCAAAATCTGCACTGCTTTGCCACGAGGTGCTTTCATGGCATCCGCCAACTCATCCGGGGGTACCGCAAAAATGCTTCGTGATTCCTCCGTGTTCCGACTGCATTGAAGGAAAGCGCTCTTCGCGTCACACTTCAGCTGAGACCACCCTGCCGTCGCCGCCATGGTAGCCATCAACTGTCTGGATCTCCGGCTCATGGTT